AGTCCGAGGAGGGCTAGTGTCCCTGAGGTTATCCCTGAAAATACGGGACTTCGGTTCATTCACTGAAATTGCACCTTGAACATTGGACTGAATACTGAGGAGCAGTTCATCTGAATCCCATCCATTCACCCTCTGGGCCAAATGAACCCGAGTAGAACATGGATACCGGTCTGCCATCGTCGACGGGAGTCCATTGTACAATCTTATCGATTCAATGCAACAAAGTACCTGCTTCTGACGGTTTGCATTCTGCACTCTTTGAAAATGGTAACGACCCCATTTCAAAATATTTAGAATAAAAAATACTCCCGCAGAGGGAACGGCGATCGTCATATTCAAAAGGGATACGAGAATATCTTTCGAAAACCACAGGAGTATCAGCCCGGTGGCCATAGATTCCAAGGGGTTCTCTGGTATTATTGTGTTTTGCAACTTCTGTGTGTCGATCGTTTACATCAGAAGAGCCAGATTCGACAGCATCAAACTGGGCTTCGCCCTGGCCGTGGTTACATTGCTCATATCTTCACTTTTCGACAAACACCGAAACTAAACCACTGCTTCCGATGACCAACAGTGATCGTCTTCTTTGATCTCATATCTGCTTTCGACTCCGTTGATCACCAGAAAGTGTGACTGTCTGGTGATGAGGGGTACCCGTTTTAGATTACTGTCTCATGAAGCCTCTATGTGACCTCCAGTGGACGTTGACTTGCCTACGACAAGTTTTCTTCGGCACCAATCCAATGATGCCGAGCTAGGATGTTCTTTCCCGGACAGTACGCCGGTAATACTGCTATTCTGAGTTCAGACTCTAATTTAGGTAACCTAAATACTTCTGCCACTGTTCGGTATGCGCCTCGCACCTTTACAGTGTAAAATATTGCTGCAAAATTGAGTCGGACGAAACCCGAACCTCATGCTAGAAGATGAAATGACCGATGCGGCTGATAAGTTCGTTTACCTGGACAGCTGCATAGGTCCCGCTAACCTCAGATTCGTGGCACCGACATGAAAAGGGTAGAGTGCACAATCTCATGACCCAATCTACCCTGTTTAATGGGCGAGATGGACCAAGTGGTTAGAGCGCGAATTTACTAACCGGAAGGTCCGTGGTTCGAACCCGATCTCTGCCTCTCGACTTCCCCTGTCTAGGCTTGGGCAACCTTGCATTATTCCAGCCCTTGTGCCTCCTTCAGTGGCACGGCAGCTAGGCACCGAAAGTGTGCTACAGCTGAACGATTTATTTATTTTATTGTTACGAAGAATCTTCGAAGGATGCCTATTTTTGTAAATAGGCGCCTCCGAAGCATGGCGTGAGCCTGGCGGGAACACCAGGTCAGAAATGCTTAAGTAAATCAGATAGTTTTCAGAAAAGCCTATTCTCCCGCGGTAGATAAGCTGTTTATATTCCACAGGTCACGCTGGTTAGTCCTTGCACTTCGTATGTCGCAGCATCACTTGCCTTGTAGAGCTCTATTCGCCCAACTAGAGGTGGTAAATCCATGATTTGGTAGTGAAACATGAAAACCCTTATCACTCAACTGGGTCTCGTCGGTAACTGCTGCCTCTCCAGATGGGACCCGATAGACGAGACGAACCAATGTTTATTGACCTTGGCGATTATGACTGTCCCGCAGCCAGTGGCACCCTTGTATGAAAGCTATCACCTTCACTGCGTAGCTCCCATTCCACGCCATACCGGACAAACAACCACAGGTTAGGCCATCGCCCCCAATGTGTGACTCGTTCCCTTATTCTCCCGAGTCAACGGAGCTGTACTACCTGGAAGCACTGCACTTCTGTACACGGTTTATGAACTGAAATACTGAACTGTATCAGCCCCAGCTAAAAAAGATATTTACATTCACATCAAGGAGCCGAGAACCTGTATCACCTATGAAGCAGTCATGACAGGCTGTCTGTCAGTTGATTTGGTGAATAGATCTCTGAATCCTTCCGCACCACTAATCTGATGTTCCAGCAATACGTGCATTTCAGTATTGATGGTCAAAGACGGCAGTTCCCTTCCCAACACATGCTGAGGCTTCAGGACTGTGACGCACCACCGGACGCACTGCCAGGCTGTATGTAGACCGACACACTGGAGGAGCGGAGGACTGGCTTTGGCGGTTTAAAACTTCATTCCCGTAATAGTGTAGATTATAATAGATAAACGTTATGATAGTTACTCAGCTGTGACACCCTTCCGGTGCCTAGCTGCCATGCCGCGCGAAGAAACATGAGGGCAGAGATACCGCTGGGTTTTCCAAGCCTAGACAAGAGCATTTGAGGTGCTGAAGTTAAGTTCGAACCACCGACCTTCCGATCAATACGTTCGCATTTTAACCAGTGAGATTCCTCGAGTTGTTACCTAGATTACCATATCCAGCGGTTGGTTCGTGTGTTTCCCGGCCCTGTGAAAGCCTCTTGAATTCTAAGGTTGCGAAGCTGGTGATATTATTTAGCTCCTTTAGTGTATTCCATATCTCACTGGAATCAACCAAATTGGACAATATTGAGCGAGATGGGTCAAGTGGTTAGAGCACAAATTTACTGACCGGAAGGTCCGCGGTTCGAACCCGACCTCTGCATCTCGACTTTCCCTATCTGGGCTTGGGCAACCTGGCAGTATCCCAGTCCTCGTGCTTCCTTTGGGTGGCGTGGCGGCTAGGCACCAAAAGGGTGTTACAGCTGAACGATTTTTTACCATGGGGATGGTAGTACATATATACCACTTCCAGGACGCCTACCTTACTTTCCAATTATGTGAGTTTTTACCAGGCTGGAAGCGATCCCTTGCCCCTCTTTAAACAAAGCAGTGACAGGACAATCAGGAACGAGTGCTTTGTTCACCTTGGAATACTCTACTACTTGTTGACCTCGTTGGGTGTGTTGAAGTCGCGCTATCACATAGCACATCACATAACACATACTAAACACCTGATCGATTGGCCACAGACACGGGTACTAACTGAAATTTATGTACGTCCGTGACACCCCACATTTACTGCCCATCATGCAGCGTCATCCGAGCGTGGGACCCACTACTAGGATGAGCCTTCGTGATAACATCTTTATAGTTTAAGACAGCTCTGGTCTCGCTAGAATGAACATTTTCGGAAGAACCTTACACCGAACCTATCCGGTGCTTATTTGACGCTCACCAGTTGTTTTGCTCACGGGATTCGACGCTACCATCATAGCTGCTCCCCTCGGACATCCACTTTATGCACGGAGTTCGGTGATTCCTTACTGTTTACTCCTCGTACGTATATGAAACTTTACACCCAGTACTTATCCCCCTGATTTTCTCAGCGAAGTACCGACCGCCCTGCTGCGGATGCCCCAAATGACAAGTAGCGAAGTAAAACCATCCCCGCTTGCTCCTTTACTTGACAATCCTTAAATTAAAGATAAAGGGGACTTCTTGTTTAAGCTGCGCCGTTTAATGCCGTTTGGGATGCATGAATTTGAGCCATCTCTGAGATAACAGATTAGGAGGTCGTTTTCATCTTTATAGTAACTTTCTCATTTTAATGACAACCTTAGTTGTGATCTGTATTTGATCTGCATCAAATGGCTGTCTGAACTGATCTAATCTTTGTTTCCCTTTCAGACTGTACAATCTACATTCAATATAAGTTGATTTTCTCCCCTTGCGATCTCCAGGCGGATTTTGTAAATGAACACTTTCAGGTGCATTCACTGCTGTGCCGAGGTACCCACACTCTGCACGAAGTATACAGATGATATCATAAAAATGGAATTTTGCGGTCGGTGTGGAAACGTTGCCGATAAATACATAGAATTTGATATTTTCATAGTTGCTGTCGACTTGTTGGTCCTTCGAATCGAAGCATACCGGCATCTGATTCATAATTCATCCGATAAATCATGGGTCCGACTGCTTACTCTCAGTTTTGTTTTGAACTCTTTTGTGTCTTGGTTGAGTGAGCAACCCAAAACAAACGTTGATTTTGCAAACCTTTCACTCTATTTTAATTCCGACCTTTATATTCATATCATTACCAACTTTGTCCTTTCTCTTTGTTTTGCCTTCCTTTTGCAAATCGCTTGCTGTTCGGTGAGACAAAGACCTGCATGGACTCAGTCCATAAGGCTGCTGTCTATAATAAATTTTGCAAGACTTCTATCCTTCTTTGTTCTACCCTGGAACGACAAGTTCATTTTTCACAACATGGACCTTTCTTTCCACACTGCAGTCTCTAGCATGGCGTCTTTCTTGGCATGTTTTCAAAGCTTTCGTGCACTAACCAGTTGTTCATACGCCCACGGGTTGTTTTCATCACTGTTTGTTTGTTCATCCGCGTCTTTCTTGCTCTCGTTGCTAGATCCTCTTCTTGAGCACATAAACTGGTAGAAGAAAAGCCACGTTTTCGGACTTCATTTAAATAGACTGACTTGATTGTATGCCACTGAAGCACCAGCTCCCTAACATTTTTTGTCGTCAAATGTAGTGATGGCGTTTTGAAGCCGATTTCTACGGAAACTGATTTCTAACAATTATGTATTTTGTTTTGCAGATGGCGACCCATGGGCAGTTGTTTCTTTGTTTAGTTTTACTCCTGAACGTGGTTGTTTGCAAGAACAACCGCTTATCTGTTACCCTTCAAGCCCAATGGTCCGACACATCCATCATATCTGAGGCCAGGTAAGTGTTTCATTATTATTATTCTTCGTTTCGACCACGTTTTCACTGAGACTTGGCTGATCGCCTGACGTCTATTTTGCCTGTGACTTTTAGCAAGTTTTTAGCTCCCCCTGTGGGACTGGATGAGGAGCCGACATAAGGTACTCAAAGTAACCTCTAGGGGATGCCTTCTGTTTTCTGCAGATGCGGGGTAACTTTTGCACCTTCTGGATTGATTGCCGTAGCTATTCATTGCTCTTATATATGTGTAACGGGTTCAGTCTTTCTGGCGCAGATGCATCTGGCAGAGGGATGCAAGAGAGATCATAAAAAGTTTGGATGCCTTTAGTGCAACTTACCCTCCAAGGTGGGGGCCACGTGACCCCCCGTTCATGGTTGGTGATGCTGGAAGATATGGCGGCTAATCGATATCAATGGCGTTCCTGCTGTCAGTTCCTATCCAGGGTGTCCAAGTAAGTGTTTGGATGTGTGGATCCATTATCCATCCACAATGCCTCTTTACAGCGTTAGTCAGAACAATAACGTATAATTCAGTTGACTTTCCACTCCAAAAACAGTGCTGAAATCACCGACTCGGATTGGAGTGACAGTCAACTGCCAACCGCTCTCCGAGGACGCAGTCCGTGTTCACTAAGGGTAGAGCAGCGTTTGTCAGTGAGATAACAGATCTAATAAAATTAATGTGGAAAGGACGACAAATGCCGAGGGCATGATTAGGTCAGCCTTATTATGATTGCCTTAAAAATTCTCACATCGTCCTGCAAAAGTCAGATGGCGAAGAAGCCGTGAAAGTCACATGGAATTCCGTACCCATCGTAGACGCTCGGATCACATGCTCACCTTCTGAGACTTCCTGAACATTGTCATACGTAGAGATGAGTAATAATCCTCACTTCCTTTGGTTTCAAAGCAACGGTTCACTGAGTTGGCTCGTCTGTTTCGTGCTGATTCCCAATTAACAAAGATATTCACCACGCCCCAACATTCGCGGAGAATTTTCCCCTGATTTACTACTGAGGCCGGTGTCAGATACTTTTACCTCTTCTTTTCAATTCTGCGCGACCCTGGTGCGATTGATGCTCTTGCATGGATGTGAATTTTTCTCACTGCGCGGAGGATGGAAGGCAGATATCCACTTTCTACTTAGTACCAAGCATCATACATGTGTTGTGGTAGCTGTAATTGGTCGTATGTTATTTGGAGACTTGTCTGACACTGATAAACGGCACCACTTCCGCTTATGGGCACGGGTTGCTCATGCCCGTGACTAAGGGTGTCGCGGGGTTGTTGGTGAAGAAAAAAAGGGGACAGATTATGGCCTTGCAAGAAACTACCAACAGCTTCTCACTAGCTTAGGCTGGTTAATACCGTGTGCCAGGGTGGAGAGTGGAAGACTCGTCGATATGGCTAAATTATGAAGTCAACAGTGCTGTTGTATTCACGCACTCAGCTCTGTTCTTTAAATTTGCTGCCCACGTCCAAGTGCAGTCATTCCGTAGGATCTCGCATCCTTCGGTAAGTGCTCCTACGTATTGCCATTGTAAATGAAAAAGAAATGTCCCATTTTCAGGGAACAATACGCGTGAGGACAGTACGGAAGCCACAACTCTCAGAAAATACTTGGAACATGAATAACTCTGAATTACTGGCTTGAACTGTCTATGAACAGTATTCTGTGTTCATTATCGACTTCATCACGTTACACACAGGCTAGGAACCACAATGACGGAAAATCGTGTGCGCTATATATGTCGCCTGTCGTCCCATGATAGTTTCGTTATGTTCCCTTTGATATGGTATCAATCAGACTCGTTAGTTCACAGGAATGGAGAAGACAGACAACTTCGAGGAAGTTATACTGCAAACAAGTGGATCGTTCCGCGATATGGAATTCAACTGAACCAGAATATAGAAAGAGCTAACAGTCCAATAGGATGTCTGTGAGAGGCTGAAATGTGGAAACAATGTTTCGGTGTACAAGACAAATCGTTAACAAAGTGGATTTGTTCTGGAATTAGTTTTCCTAACAATGTTTTGATAGATTCTTATGCGAAACTATGCGCAGCTTGCCAATGGTAAACTTGTCGGCTATTTTTGCCAGTCATATTTCTTATCTGGATGTTTGCCACAGGCGTGTGAGAACGTTTTGGTGCCCTCATGACTATATTTGTTTTTGGCTCCCTCCAAGAAGAGCACATTTTTGGCTGGCTACTCTCTGAGAGGGAGAACTGTGCTCATCTTATTCGTAATTGTCACTCTGCTTGGGAAATAAGCCCTTTTCACCAACGCTCAATAAATGGGCGGTGATCCAGTCCAGTTCAGTTTATCAGCTGTAGATCGTGTGACAATTTATGCTGGTTGATATTGCTGCAGTTTCGTTTACTTGGATCAAGGAGATTGATGGAAGACTAGTCATACACCGGAGGCAACTGCTTAAAGCGATCATTAATGCCAGGTTGTCCTACTCTACCTAGACGTCAGCTTTAATGCACATGAGCCAGTCGCTGCTTAATTGGATCATTTCTGTCATTTCTCCCTATCACTGGCGTTCAGTCCTAAGGTCCCCTCCTGGAAGATAGCAGTTGCTAACGGCTGATTTTAGTGGTAGTTGCTTTTACGCTTCATTTTGGAATTATAGAATTGTCTTTAGGTCGTTTTGTTCCAGCACAGAGCTGAGAAAACGATATTCAAGAGGCTGATGATCATCTGTTAGCTTATTCTATGGAGCATATCTCGCTCAGTCATCGTGAGTGAGTTGCCTCTCCCCAAAACTAACGCCACCATAAGTGTTGGAAGTCAGAAAAGGCCATCACAACCTTCCGGATTCATGAAGTGATGTATTTCGTCGGTCCGCAGGGGCTGATGGAACTACCGAGGTAGGGGATTCTATCCATCGCACGGAGCAACTCGTCTGTGATTAATACTTAATTGATTCAAACAGCTTCCTTAGTGTGGGTAACAATTGAAGCCACAATAGCTCACCGAGGCGTTGATAAGTAATATGTATCGAACTTCCAAAGACAAATGAAAACCGTATTTCACTCGGATTCATCAATAAGGTGATAATAGAGAAAGTCAACTTTGGGCCAATTTAAGGAATCACACCTTGTGATAAACAGGACCAGCACATTCAGTTGAAGAATATCATAAACGAGAAATTCAGTTGAGTCTCTCGTGAAAACCAAATTGATTTGCAAATGAGTGTATTTCGCTAATTTCGTGCAATTTGGTTTCAAGAACATAAGGTTGACGAAAACCCGGGAACTGCGCCTGCCTGATGAGCCCCGAGAAAGGCGAAACCGGTCGTGGGCTGTCAAAGAATTTTCAGCAACCTTATGAGTAATGCATTATGAATATACATGTATCGCGATATCTCGAATATCGTAGCAACCGAAACATGAGGCGGCCTGGTGCAGCACATTCAGTTGCCTGCAAACCTCACAATTAGACTTCAGTTCACCCGGTCCACCTTGCAATATAGTCTCGTTGCTAATTCCACGTGACAAGGTTCGGTTCGAACAATCAGCATGGAGCACGAGACTGATTCCACCACACTTCTTCGTTCTCCCACACTTCAAGTTTGTTGGAGCTTTTCGACTTCTTGAGTTGTTGAGTTGATTGTGTCCTCACCAGCCCTTGCTCTGCTAGGTGTGTGGTGTCACCTGCCCGGTGTTCAAATGTCTGATGTTGACACCCCGATACACGAACGGTGGTACTGAGCAGTCACTACCATGAACACGCAAGTGAATGTATGGTTTCAACTGCACAAAACAGTCATCCACGCCTCTCACTACATCAGCAGCTGGTTTCTGTTCCGTCGCTCGGAGCTGCTGGTTAGCCAAATTTGCAATCCATTTCTCGGCCCGATTGGGAGCACTTGGAGCATACTATCACACCGAGTTCCCTCGCAGCACGTATGAAGTTTTCTATGTGCATGTTATGTAAACTACTCTGTTGTACAGGTATGCCAAAAGCTATACTGTTGTCTACGACTGTGAGATATGCACGAAATTTTAGTCTTTGTTAGTCGGACTGTTCCTAACACAAGCGCGCTCTCACGCAGTCTTTGTCAGATTTCCTATTCTTATCCGCATGCGAAATAGCAAAGAAACCCCAGAAGTTTCGTGCTCGGGCGAATCATGTCTGCTTTTTTAGCGGAAGGACGGAATAGTAGTTGCATTCGTTTGCCGAAGGAGTCTCGTGGACTCGACTGGATTCTCATGTGATTGATGACACAATGTGCGACACTGTCCTTCGTTTGGTATTTATGAGATATCCTGGTGCCGTTCTCAGCACTATATTTCCTATTATCGCGTTACTGATAGGACCGATGGACTGATTTGATGATGTATTTTATTTTCGTTTTTGTGAGCAGAAGTCCCACGAGGTACACTGCATTTACACATGGGTAGATAATGACATTTTACAGATATACGTGTTCGGTTGCTGTCTACTTTCATCAGATGAGTAACTTTTTAAGTTTGTTCACATTTTAACGTAGACGCATTGGTGCTGCTTTCCAAGTATCTAATTGCATCCTTCCAATGGTGTTCGCACTATTAGACTTTCTGTTCACTTTAGCCCTTTACCCTACCCTTGCTATTTTCGACTGTGCAATTGGTTTCTGTTTTAGTGAATACGTGGCTGAGGAATCTACAGACAGCTTTTGGAAGTTTGTCGATATTTTGGAACCAGTTGTTAGCTCACATCACTGGCAGACAGCAATTACAAATGCGGGGACTTCTGAATTCCTCGTTGATGTGGACACGTATGTTCAGCTGGAAAACCTTGTCCTTGATGCCCTCGGCAGTGGTGGGAAGACAAGTGATCAAGTCAGGACCAAACAGAGGCAACTCTTCCGTTTATTTTTGTCTTCGCGCACTTATTCTCCATCTGTGGAAATGATGCAACAGTTAGCTATCACTAGTGCAAGCCAGATTTTCAACTGCTCACAGCAGAGTGCCGTCGACCGCTTGGTCAGTTGCATGTCAGGGTCTTCCTGGGCCCAAGTTGGTGCCGAAGTTGTCTGTGATATTGCAGAACTGTCACGAGCTCTAGAGAAGGCAAATGAAGGACCGGTTGAATCAGGTGATTGCACCATTTTTCACTATTTCCTAGCTGAACACTTGTAGCAGTCTGTGAGCTCCGTTAGTAATACCATTCATATTGGACTTACTTGATACATCTCACATAACTTTTGGAAATTTGTGTGCGTCATAGGCTTCCGAATTTTGTGTAGATTCAACAGCGTCTGATTTCATGAGGTGCCTGGTTGCACCCTTTATTAGAACCATAGTGCACGAACACAATGCATACAATGCATACAGTAGTCTTTCCAAGGGAGATGACCACGGGAAAAAGCGGTAGTCGGTCCCTCTTTGGGGTACCGTACCGACTTTATTCACGACATCTATTTGTCACGGGAAGATGAGCAGCCTCGCTGGCGTCACTGGTTGAAGCGATCCAGGAGCCGTGTCTAGTTTCTGTCCTAGTGGAGGACACCTTAAACATATCCTTGACTCAACGTTTCATAACACTCTGGACAATACTGAGCCATATTTTTAGCTGCACACGTAGACGGCAGTGCCATTCATGTTAGGATGATGATCCACTTGGCTACTTAGCTATTTTGACGTTGTAGTACGTTATCGGACTGAATTTGTTGACTGAGGTCAGGAATTCTTTTGTCCCGTGCTAGCAGTCATTTACTTGGGGTTTCTAGGGCTCTCTAGTTAATACTGGTCAGTTTCCACAGCTGATGTAACGCTAGGTCAATGGTGAACTTTTATGTGTGAGCTAACCTTGCTTCCCCTCCACAGTGTTCTCTGAGACTGGGGAAACGGTCTTCTAGCACCAATGATGCTTACATTTATTTCGTCCTTTGCTTGACCATTCGAGAGTACAGTGAACCGGTTACCCAATTAAAATCGACCCTGATTTGATCATACTGACTCATAGCTTGCCAAGCACGTTGAACACAAGCCGGATTACGTCCACTAAATTTCCTCAAGTTTAGTCATTGAATTCTCAGTGTACGATGATGGACTTGCGTTGTGATCAACACCAGTTTGCTTCACTCTGTTTTCTGAAAGTGATAAGTCTAACAGCGAACGAAATTGGTCCCGCAGCGATCACATACCACAGGTTCCGACCATCGCTCTGTATAGTTCAGACACTGGTGCATGTTGCGGGAGCATTTTATGTGGTTCGATTGTGCGTTGTCTGAATCTGCTCTGATATCCGAAGGGTCTAACTGAAACTATCTTGGTGCTGAATCTTTTTTATGTGTATTTTTCACTTCAGGCACTATCTCAGTTACCTTATCACGCGAGAAGACGTTTCGGTCGAATGGGGCTAAACCTACCAGAACTCCACCTACAGTCGTCCTCTATGGAGATCTCGGGAAGCCAGACTTTTATACCTGGCACAAGCACTTGAAATCTCTGACCGAGAAAGGTCTCTGTTCTTATGTGTTCAGACACTTCAAGAAGGTTAGTAGCTCATCTTTTATGTGGTCTGGTTAAATTTAACACTCGCGATATTGGCTCATACGTAGGCATCTTTGGATGTAAATATTTTCCTGTTCACTTCATGTTTCCATACTCCATGACAAGGCTATATTAGCTTCTCATTCGATTGCAGTACCATTTTGCTAACAGTTTTGGTTACCCCTGGGAACGTCGCGGTACTATTGCGAAATCAACTCATATGATAACCAAGGGTGAGTTTTGTCCAGGTCAGTCGTTGGGCTCATGGTCAGTTCTGCTGTTGGTGCCTGTAGTGCCATACTTTTTTTGTATCTTCAAAGCTATTGAGTTCTGACAGCATATTGAAACTCGGAAAGCTAGGAAGCCTATAGGGCGGATTGTTGAGGCATGGTACTGAGTAAACACCGCAAATGAATGGAACATTATTTTTGCGAATGAATACCGCGATTCAAATGATTGGCAGGGATGTTTTGAGGAGGTTATCAATGCGGCTAATCGACTTGGATGTCAAGCAGCAACCCATTTTATTCCAGCTTCCATCATTTGCATTCTCCGAGGGATTATTGTCTTGTTTTCTCTTCTGATGTAATCGTCCTCTCCAAATAGGACAAGTTGCTTTCATGCTGTTCTCCCACTCAGTTTCATGAGTTAGTAAATCCACATTCTGATTTTGCAACTTTTGACGTCTCAGCACACCACTACAGTCTAATACACAATGCTCAATCATGATATCACTCAGCTTTACTCGCTTTGGATTTGTTCCATGCCACCTCACTTTTAAGTCCTATCTTAGTTACTACTGCGTATGAATTACTTATCAGAGCCACTCAAATTCTGAGGGAAAGTTGCAAGCACCAGCACCTTTCGGGCACGGTACACATTGTACATTTCTTCCAGTCACACAGTTGGGTTTCTCAGTCCAATACGGGTTAATCCGTTGTGCTCAAGTTCAAATTATTGCTGTCATTCAAGTTCTGTCGTCGCTGACCTTATACTGTCCTGGTTCCTGTGTTCCCCCGTTACTTTTGCGTTCGAATCTTACAGTTTCCTAGTAAAAACAAAGCTGTGCTGAGTGGATACGGTGTCGAACTGGCATTGAAAAGTACGGAATATAAAGCCATGGATGATACAAAGGTTGAAGGTCAGTGCATACTCCTGAAAAATGTTATCTTCTTGTGTTACGTATATTGCTCTCGACCGCGCACTCACGCTAGTCTGTTTCTCTCCGCAATAATTTTTCCATGGCGCCTCGTCTTCATTTGTTCCAACCACAACCCAGATAAATAACTGGCAATGTGTGTAATTTATCAAAATGTCTGCAACTCAACCCAAGACAACGGTTTTAACATCATGAATTGGGAAAAAAAGCTTGAGCAATTGCCTATGGACATAAACCAGAAACAGGAGATTTCTATCCCTTATAAATTCTGTGATAACACATCCGACTTAGGCCATAGATGAACTTAAATACAGGCCTCGCTCTACTTCAAGATCCCAAAGGTTCCTACCTAATAAAGAAAAACAACCACGGGTGTTGTGACTTGCTGAACGGTCGTGCAACTCTGCGTCGGTCCTTAGCTTTCTACTCCGCCCACTATAGTATATCAAAAGGCACAGTAGCTTCAGACAGCCCTTTATGGAGACAAAGGCTACAACTGTATTTTTTGGGTAATCACAGAATGTTCCACAGGTTTGTGCTAGAATCTCCGTGAGGGGACGAGAAGCGTCGAGCTAAAGATGCTGGATCTAGATTGGCTGGCATTCTGACCAATCGGGGCATGGCTTCATTTGTTCCTTAGCCCGCATGTGGCACATCCGTCCAATCGACGTGCTGTTCGACTATTAGGGGCAGCTGGCCTCTGGACAACAACTCGGCTCGTATCTTGTTAGACGGATTGAGCGCTGTATAATGTGTATATGGAAAGTTTAACGTCAGAACACTATGTAGTGGAATAAGATGTTACAATCTGACGTTTCGGTTGCCGTGGCTAACCTTTTTTTTGAGGATTTCTACATTCACTGGAATACGAGTCAAGTCCAGCGTAATTTGGGTCCGCTATCAAATTGGTTGTCAGATGCGTGTCAGCGTGTGTTAGCTCTGTACGCGTTATTATGTGTACTCTGACTGGGATGTTCCTTCGTTTGTCGTTGTGCTAGCGGTGCTGCGTTATTGTTGAAATTTCTGCTCGACCTCTGATCACGATGCCTACTAAGGTGCAGAAAGCCCAAGCTAGATCGACGGGATGCTGCCTCCGTCACTACGGTCGACACAGTTCGTTTGTGTATTGATCCATAGTGCGTCAGCTGTTCCACGTGCGACTTGAATTCCGATTGGATTATAAGTGTGCCATCAAATCTTGTCTGAGGGAAAGCATTGACAGCGGTCCCAAATAATGCTGCGCTTGATCCACATTCAATTGAATGTAGAAATCATTGAAAAGGGTTGCATACGGCAACCGACACGTCTTATTCCACTACGCTGTGTTTTTGCTTTAAACTTTCCACATATGACAATGAATTTCCTTTTTAAGTGTTTCCCGCCTCTGTAATGGTAACTTGACTTTCGTCACTCAGTGCTAGTTTCCTCCAACGTCGAGTGGGAGCGTTTCTCGTAGCTAGTGCAGTAATACTGCCGGTACTTGCATGATGTTGTCATCCGCAGTGTCAACTTGTATTCGCCGGCTTCTTTTTTGTTGTTGATCACTTTTTGAAATGGTTTAGCTCGAAACCTTCGCCACAAGCCCGTCGAGTTCAGTCAGCCCACCACCAAGCATGACCGCAATCCAAGCGCTATCGCATTTTTACCCACGTAACAGCTTTGTGTTTAAACGTCATGTTTGGTGTCCACTTGTTTTAAGTGAACACTCCCGTCATCTATGGGGGACTTTTACTTCGTTGTCTCTTAAGCGGTTTGCGGTTTGGATCATCGTTTCTTTGTTCAGCCCACTTATAATGTTTTTATCACGGTTTTATTTGTTCTCCCAAGAAAAGAGTTCAAACAAAGAAGCGCTTGAAGCACCAGAAGACGCGATTGTTCAAGGTTTTAACTTCACCCAACTCAGATTGAATCACCCTGACTTGGACTCCCAGCTGAGGGAATACCACAAGTACTTGCTGAGCACAGACGAAGAGCTTCGGCCATTGAAGGTGTGGCAGTTTCGTGAGCTGAACCTACAGGCTAGTCAAGCCATTGTGGATGCCTCTCGTCAGGCTGGATCTGACACTGGATCAGTCCTTCATCCAGGATTGGCAGCCCTTCGTGATATTACCCAAAACCTCCCATCACGTGCCGGGTGAGATCTCTTTATTGTTATTATTATTATTACAAAATAAGGCGAAAGATACATGTTACCCGAAATGTCCTGACATGTCCCAGGTGAATAATTCAGGACATCGGTGTGTAACTTCGTCCTATCAGCAGTGTCTAAGAAGTTAGTGATAGGGAGCTACACCCATAATCAATTTCCAGTTGCAGGCTCACTAGCATTAGCTTTCCACATGGTAATGATTTTTTGTGGCATTCATGTGTTTGCACTGATCCGAACTTCTGCAGTTTACCCATGAATGTCATGTATCTGTCGGAACTTCCGTGGGAATGACTCTGCAGTCAAGTTATTGAGAATGGCGAATTGACTATCTTCGATCGGTTGTAGGAAAACGACGGTATCCTTTGATCATACAAAACTGCATTTTTCTCGAAAACACCATCCCTGTCCACAAGGGTTTTATTGCCCCGTCTCACATCCGTGATATTTCGAAGCTACCTTCTTGCTTGCGCGGTACGGGGACAACTGTATAGCCCTTTGGAACTATCCAAACTGTTAGCGAACGAATACAGTGTAGAAAACAGCGTATAATACAGGATGATATCTAATTACCTCTTGTTTACCTTCGTTTGTCCTTAATAGCCGACTGGTATCGATGACCGTGGACTCAGGTCTACGTTCAGAGGTTGCCAACAATCAACTCTTGCTCAGTGCTGCTGAAATCCAACCCGGTCAGACAACGTGGTTTATCAATGGCCTACTCCTATCACCAACAGTAGATGTTTTCGCCCTTTTGGATTTATTGCGTCATGAATTAAAGGCCATGTCTCGTCTCTACAACCTTGGAGTACCGGTGAGTCAGTGCTGAGTGGTTTTGCACTCAGATTCTTCTGCTTACTTCCAGTGCATCATGTAACAAATAAAAATCTACCTCTTGTAGCACCATGTTATCAACCGGTTATTAATTCCCACCACGGCACGTAGATACTTGAAGTTCATTGAAGTTTCAGGGAATTCTGATCAACGAAGCAATGAGCAGCTTTGTTGAGGTTCATCAACGCTGCTTGCGCAGGGGTTCAAAACACAAAGCGCTGGATGGCCATAATTATTGTCAGAATGGGTGGTGTTGGGTATGAATTGGGGCTGTGCTAGTGAAGTTAATGGACGAATCTGCAGGGCTCGGAGACATCCATAGCGTCAGAGCGATACATCCTTGTATCTCAAGGGACGGGCGTATCAGACTACAATGCGGGCTGTTTTGTTGTATGGCTATGAGGCTTGGCCTGTTCGAGCAGCGGAACTTAGACGCCTCCAGGCGTTCGGCAATCGTTGTCTCAGAACCATAGCTCATTTAAGTTGGTGTCGGGGAATCAGCAACGACGCGATTAGAAAGCAACAGAGACTTCCAGAAGCTGCGTCTGTTAGGTCATGTTTTGTGCATGACGAACCATCGTTTTCCAAAGAGTGCCTTTTTCCATGCCCAATTCAGAGTGATTGCCAACCCTTGATCTGGCAGAGGGGTATAAAAGAGATCACAAGACGTTTGGGTGCTGTCGGTGCCACTTGACTTCCGGGATGGAGACCGCGAGATCCCCACGGTGCTGCAAGATATGGCTGCTAACTGATGTAAATATCGTTCTTGTTGTCAGTTTCTCCCCAGATTGCCTGAGTAAGTGTCTCGGGGTGTAGACACTCCGGACGAGTTGTGATAGGTTTGCACTAAGTCCCTTCCCCGTCCACCTTTATTATTTTCTTCAGAATAAAGCCTTTAAATAAATGATGGTTGTGCGGCAGCGGAGTATCAATACTGATCACCGATGTCATGCTGTCAATAATGATGTGCCGAAAAAAATGGTATCAAGTCTATCAATAAAAGCCAAAAATGACACCAACGCTTCACACCACTACTCATACAGTTTGACTGAGGCTTCATCCTGGAAGTGAAGTCATCCTACGGTGAAAGGCCGATGATCGCTGCACTTTTCGTTTCATTTATTTTAGAGCCATCAGCAGCGCACATCTCACGAATCCGCGATCGAAACTTGTATTTAAAATCGCCGACTCTGAGTTGCACCTCTGAGGTTGCAACTGGTTCCTCTTGCAGATTCTGACTTTTTATGATCTTTCGGCTCACTTGAATGAGCTCAGAACACTCCGGCTAGGTTCGTACATTTTGCTCACGCACGTTACGCATGCACCGAGGCGGCCTTCATACCCTCGTGTTGGTTCAGTGTGTTATTCCCTCGTTATTTTTTCGGCTACCATGCGCAGAACCCATCTGTCCACGTAGCGTAAATAGACTTGGGAAAATGGGGCTCTCACAGTACTCTGGGAGTGAGCGTGCTAATTGTGTGGATGTCTGGATCCCTGTAAGTTAAGCAATCATGGTAAGTATGAAAAGTGGGATGTTAGAAAAACCCCGAACAGTTTAAACTATCCTTGCTACTTGTACTGACTGCTAAGGTCATGAGGATCATAGTATGCAATTTTTCGGACCACTTATCTTAGCATTCCTGGCCAGAGTATAGGCCACGAATACTAAAACAGTGGTGAGCTAGAAATGAATAACGACGTTGGTCCTCAAGTTGCTTATCATCCGTGAGTGCAACTCATAACCAACCATAATCTGTTGATTTGCGAAGGACATGATCTCACGTGGTTCCCGTTCATAGAGTTTGTCTCTTCATATGTACTTGGACGTCTTATTGAGAATTGGTCACATTTATTTGTGATCTGGAAATGATCTATGTTTGTTCTTCTGTCAGTGTCACATTTCCTGAAAGATACTGATGTTGTAAATCTCGAACACTCAGCAGGTGATCATCTTTCCGAGTCCGTCAATCGAGCCGCAATATGGGTGAAGGAACAAAGGGTTTCGTTTTATCCAGGACCGACTGCATCTACCAGACAGCTTCTTGCATACTTCTCCATCCTTTAGGCTGTGTATCTACGCGTGCTGTTCAGGAACATTCTTAGGATTCTTCATCTGGGCCTGGTGTGTGTAGCTCTGACCACTGGGCGTTGAGACGTATAGCTGTTACGAACAAATCTACGTTTTCGTCTTTGTATTAAACGTAGGTTAGCATCTTTGTTCCTGAGGATGTACTGGTGCATTTATCTGCCATAGTAAACACTTCTCTCTTTGCTCAGCCTTTTAAGTCGCACGTATCTCCTACCAGTTTGTCTAAGGTTAACTTTCATTGTCTTCCACAGTTCCCTCAACCACACCTGACTGTGGAAGTCAGCGTAACACGCAGCGTCAACCAACAAGAACCATCGAAATATGTGGGAATTTTGTCTCTCTTAATTGACTATTTTGGAATGGATTGCATATTGAGTAGTGATTAACGGAGGGCTTCGTCTTGGGTTCTTCAGTGGGGTGGCTTCTCTTCCGGGGCTGATTACACAACAGTGTGATATACTCACTTGTAAACAAGCTGTTCTTGGTAATACATTTGTTTATTTCGGGGCCCAATTGGCAGATTAGTGAGTTGCTTGTCTGGTAGTCCGCTCAAGTTCCTTGGTCCGTTACTTAATGTTGGGACTCACTTTTGTCTGATTAAGCTGTTTGCCCCCCAATTGAACTTTTTTCCGTTTGCCTGTCGCTTTCAGGCGGGTCGAATTTCTGAATTACTTACCATGACGGGAAGCTTCAGTCAATCGATCTCTGATACGAACAGCGCAGCTGTCCCGGGTCTACGATACAGTTTGTCCGGACGTTTTGTCCTCGATCTATCCAACAGCCCTGTAATGTACTTGAACAACTTGGAATCGGATTCAGCCTATGCCACCTGGCCGGATTCACTACAAATGCTTTTCATTCCAGATTTCTCCGGTGGAATTCGGAGAATTCGAAGAAATCTATATAACATCATTCTCGTGCTTGATCCAGGATCAACCGAATGTCAAGAGATAATTCGCTTGGCTGAATCTTTCCTGCTACACAGGATTGCCATTCGGTGGGTTATAGAAAGTGTACCGTATTATCTTCCGTACATCTTGTTGTTCTTTTTTCATCAATTGGTCTTCTACCAAAACTTAAGGTTGCAAAGATCAGTATAACAGTAGAAAACAAGGGAGACTGAATCGTGCTATGGGTGATGCAGAACAACGTGATCCAGTTCGTTTATCCTGTTTATTCCAAACGACCTTACGTGTTACCTTATCGAGAAGCCTTATCATGGTGTGACTTTTGAAAGGCCTAGTGAAATTGACACGATTTCAATTTTTATTTCTCTTGTTATTTGAGTACCAGAGGCCATCGTACTAACATCCAGTCATTGAATCGTTAGTTGGTTATATCAATGTCCTGTTCGTCTTTAGCTGTCGTACGTAAATTTATCAGTTCAACACAAAGAAATGCGGAATCCCAATCAATGTTGTTCAGCGGTCTGTACTAAGGTAGCATTATTGGCGGTTGTGGTAATAACATTATCACTTTTTGAGAATAGTTGGGACCTGCGTTTGCTGCGGTCGGCAGTATCTTGGTGGAAGAAGGAAACGTCGGTTCCTTCAGACCCCGTTAGTGTAACTACTTTGCTTCGTTTAACGGTTGGACAATAGGCGGTGCTCAACATCCACTCTAGAAGGTTAGTTACTAGTCTCATTTCTATTTGGTGGCTGATTATGACAATATAGTAACTTGAGTAAAAAGTATCCTATGTGGGAGGTTTTATATGTCCGAACTAATTCAGACAGTTACCTTGGTCTATAATTAAAGTTCGTCATTAAGCGTCTATGTTCAGTTGTTATTCGGTCGGAAATCATCACCATCATCGACAGCATGACATCAGTGTTCAACACCGATGCTTCACTGCCGTACAACCATGATTTATTTGAAATCCTTATTGTAAAGAAAAGAATAAAGGTGAACGGGGAAGGGACTTGGTGCTAGCTTACTACAATCATTCCGAGGTGCATATACCTAAGGCAATCTGGATAGAAACTGACAACAAGAACGCCACTGACATCGGTTGGCAGCCATATCTTGTAGTGTCTCCAACCAGGCACAGTGGGAATCACGCGGTACCCATCCTGGAAGGCGAGTAGCACCGACAGCACCCAAGCGTTTTGTGATCTCCTTCATACTCCTCTGCCAAGTCAAGGGTTGGCCACTTCGATCGGAAAACCGCCCGAGCTATTTGCTTAGACAAAAGTGAGATTTTCACTGGGCAAGCAAGCGGTTGATTGGGTTCAGGGAACTGCGTAGTAAAACAATCAAGGTGTTTTATTCAGACGAATTGACGTCCGACTCGAGCACAAGTGTTATGTAGAGGAATCACACGGATGCGTATAACCTAAGGATGGTGGTGGACCAGCCCGCAAGACTGAAGTGATCACTACACATGTCCCCTTTTGTCTTATTTTTTCTGTTCGTTCTCCTGGATTATTATTTATATCTGTAAGTATTTATTATTTATTATTTTTCGAACCGATATACACTAACTAATGGTACTATTAATCGTTCAGTTACAACACTCGTTCGGTGTGTAGCTCCCACACCGCCCGAAGGAAACACGAGGACTAAGATGCTGCCAGGTTACCTAGGCCTAGGCAGCGGCAGTCGAGGTGCTGAGTTTGGGTTCGAACTACGAAACTTCTGCTTAGTAAGTCCGCGTCTCGATCGCTGAGCTGTCCGAAGCAAATTTCCTGTAATGACTGATGTGGGACACAACATCCCGCATCAAGGTAGGTTATGAATCTTCCCGTATTTCGCTCACATGTAAGACTGTTGAAGTAAGCATCTGGCCTGATTCATTGGCGAAGGAGTGCGACCAGAATCCACTGGGAACCTATTTGGGTGTCTGGAGCTGCTTACGATGATATTTTGATCTCATACTGCCACCAATGATCACGTTCACTTTGTGTGGATACTGGGAGGATAGTGAATATCTGGTAGTTGATCAGGCGGCTATTGATTTGTTCACCGAACAACCGTTTCGTCACCATTCAAGGAGTAATCGTTAGCACGGCCTGATGGTGTCCCATCGAATGGCGATGAGGGGTTTGTAAATCAGTTACCAACCTTGACGAACACATACGTGATCAACTGAAAATGAAGCCCCCGAGCTGACAGTGCTATCGCAAATGTCTGTTTCTCTTGCTGCCATCTAATCAATTCCCCTTTCTTTTCTGTGCAGGTTTGGGCTCCTCTGGTCGGTTGACTCTTCTGTCAAGTCTGTCAGTTTGATTTTGGTGCGAATGTTTACCTACATATCGTCTACCGTGTCACACTTTGGTGAATCCCCATTACCTGTAGGCGTTTCTGGTCTAGGATCACCTGGACCGATGACCGCATTATCTTTCCTCACGGAGCTCTATTCTGAAGCCGAACGTACTAAAAAGGAACTGACCATCAAATTCATACAACAGCGGTTTGAAAAGCTCTTTCCCAACGCTGACGTCGAAGAGATCATCTCTCCGGAGGCAGGTGCAAGCGAATACGACTCTCAGCTGCATGTGAGTTTTTAATTCACTTACTGATCCGCTTGCAAAAACAACGATACTTTGCGGAGTTGGTGGTGATGGGAGGTTAGTTAATTGGAGCTGATGAGAACTGCGACATCTCATTCCTCAAATATCAGCAGGGTTCGCGCTACCTCTTAGATCCTCTTGTATGTTAATGTGCCGCAGTTTTTTTTCTATGAATAAATAAAAATGCACGCGTGGTAGGCCAGTATATACTGCATCTAACTGAACAATAGCCCGACCATACTGATCCGAGGAGAGACGCCATTAGCCAACCGGTAAGAACCGAATGTGGATTGCACTTCTAAGCTATCCGGTCGGGGTTCTTTGATCTCTTTCGTTCTTCTTTCCTTACAGTAATCAGAATGATCTCAATTTACTCAATTTACTGATTAGTCAGACTCCCGTGTTTTCTCGTGCACCCTACTCTATGAAAACAGTGATTGGTGGTTTATACGATGGACAGTTAAACGCCTACATCCCTAATGTTTTTCGCTCCTATGCTACTATAGCATATCAAATTTTTCTTGGCGAAAACGGCATTACTAACAGAAATTCAGGTATGAATATATTCCTTAACAGATTTATGTATAGGAAACTACTGTAATTTCGTGTACTCGATAAACAGAGGTGTGCGATGGTTGGCAACAGGCGTTTAGAGTAACGGGGATAGAAGGCGCAACATTTAGTAGATACCACTGAAAAATCCAAACAAAAGATTTTACTACATTAGCGTATCATTTTATTCGAATAATGGAAGGGCTGTCAGAATGACCAATAAGAGGAAATTCAACACATCCACTTCGCTACTCGAATCGTTTCAGTAGTGTATGATTATTTTGTTTGGTATCCGGATACCCGATGTCGCACGCTTTTGGACCGCACTCTCAAACTATGAGTACCGTTTTCTCGAGGGAAAACACTACTCACGAACATGAGAAGTCGCTTTCTGCTACTGAACTAGTCAAATACGGTCTCCGCTGACATTCAGACCATGATGCATCGTGAGCCTCATTCGAAGCACATGCAATACGATGTAAATGTTGCAGTTCTTAGAAAGTGCGGATCCATGAAAAATTTAACGCATTGCTACCTGGTGATTTGCCGGGGATATGCACTAATCCACGGAACAATAGGCATGCTCTTCCAATCAATGAGGCTAACGACGGCAGGTCTAAGAACTTTCTCATTCTAGACTGTTGTTGTTGAAAGTCCTGTTAGTCTGAATTATTCGGACTACGATATATTCATCTTCATCTTCATTGGTGCGAGATGGTCCAAGTGGTTAGAGCGCGAATTTACTGTCAGGAAGGTTCGTGGTTCGAACCCGACCTCTGCCCCTCGACTTCCTCTGCCTAGGCTTGGGCAACCTGGCAGTATCCCAGCCCTCGAGCGACCTTCGGGTGGAATTGCAGTAGTGCATTGAAAGGGTGCTACAGCTGAACGATATTCATCTTCAAAAATGAGCAGAAAGCACAAGTGTTGTTATAAAAACTAGCCCTTTCACCTCCATCTTTAGGCGCGCGCTTTGCGCCCTCAAAACGCAAAGTTGTACTGCAGAATATGCTATCTCAGAACACTTGCACTTCAGTATGAAGCACGGTAGGTTGTGGCAAGGTTTACACAATCTAATAGTTCTGTTAGCTCCGATAAAAATTTACGTGATGGACAAATCATAAGGACCTGAATTACGTTTGCCAACTTGCGTCATTGTGACGCAAAAATGGCATATCATTGGGTCCCAGGAATTGCACATGTGGGGTACGGGCCAAGGTGTTCTGTGTGTGAGATTTGACCCCTGTGGATGAATGATCTGAAGTGTCCTGGAATCGGTTCTGGTATTGGATGGCGCCAGAGAATTCACAACAAAGTGAATGGTTGTACAGCAGACACTTCATTCCCGTGCAACATCGAACATCATCGACTACGGTGACCCGGCTATGTGCTACGCATGCTAAATCGTCGTCTGTCTAAACACTTAGTGTTCTTTGTGCCTCCTTCACAATGGCGGAGGCTGCTAGACGGACAGTGTGGTAGAGGGGTTTGAAAGAGAGCACGAAGAGCTTGGGTGTTGTTAATGCGCTCCACCATCCGAGGTAGGGTCCTTAGATCCCTTGCACCTGACCGGAGGCGTAGTGGGAAATGACAGCCATCAGATGTCAGTGGCGTTTATACTGTCATTCTTATCCAGGCTATCCGATTGAGCGTATGTTGGCGAAGGCTCGCGATAGGCTAACACCAGACAAGTCCCTATCTACCCTTTTCTTTTTCTACTTGAAACCTTTGAGATAGCGTGACACTAAATCATCACTCTAAAACTGCTGCGGGTGTCTGTTTTGTTGATAGTGGTGATGCGATCTGATTTTCTTGTGGGTATTTATGGAGAATTCGCAAAACAAGCCTGGAATTATCTCTTTCGAGAAAATCCTGTTAGGATTTCGTAAAAACAGCATAAGTATACGCCATAAAAACAGCGGGCTGCTGAAGTAAGACAGTGGAAGTATGATTTGAATGCTACTTAAAATGAGGTAGTTGTTTTCAAGCAGACTTAAAGAGTAGTATCGCGGATTTCCAACTTTGTTAGGTCAGACATAGATACAAATCCTACTTGTTTTTTCATTTCCCTCCCCTAACCGACGGTCTTGTGCGGAGAACTTGTTCCGCCTAAGGATCAACCGCACGCCACATGGGCTACGGTAACTAAAAGAAACGAACTTGGTCACGCGGTTCGTCGGCGACAGGAGATTGCATATCCGTCCCCATTCTCAATGTTCCATTGTAGGCCAACATTTTCTTCGGGGAATAATCAATCAAAATGTTGACCGAAATAAGAATTTGCGGTTGGCCAAGTTCAACACGAAAATATTTAAGTTTCCATATTATGGACTATCAGTCGAAGTCCACATAAGATAAGTAGGAAAAACAGAAGCGACAGTATGTAAAACAAATACGACAACCTAACAGCCCATCAGTAACCTGGGTTAGTATGATTCATGTAAGGTATCAATACTAATTTTTTAAACATGGAGTCCGATACCGGAATGCTCGCTCCTCTATCGCCTTTCAACGTTCTTAATCTGATCGGAACTGACAATACTGTCTGCTACATTGTGTCTGCTTCATTTCTACTCTGCCTCCAATTTAACTAGGGCTCAGCTACCGGCTATTCGCGGCATATTTTCGGCACCATCAGCATACGAAGCATAGATTTGCACATCACCTTCATGCAGACGAGATATCTCAAGTGAATTCCTTTTTTATGATTGTGCTGCACAAAAACATCTATTTAAGTTGATACGATATCCGGGATATCGCATTGCATTTTCTTGGCAAAGGACTGCTCGAAGGGACCCTAGCACATTCATGAATAGCCACCTGTTTCACGTGGGTGAGGTCCCTGCTTCGATCTGTCACACTACTTGTCTAGTTTGGTTGACTTTTTCATATCTTTTCCCGAAAAGGTCCAGATGAAAATGTAGTCCCACCAATGTACAACAGATTCACAAGATAGTTACCGTACTCATCCGTGTGAAATAATCTTTACGATAGAGTACATACTACAGACAAATGCACATATTATTCGTTTAACTCATGAGCATCTATAACTCGGCAGGTCACGAAACTCACGTGAAGTAAGTACCATAGCCGTCCATTGGAAAATGGGACTGAATTTCGCTCGTGAGAATCGTCAACTATGGCTTCCCATTATGATATAACTTGTTTGAACAATTCTGCCCTGGCGCAATTTTTCTGGTGTCTGCACCAAGAAGGAAGGGACACTGCGTTTGAATTTTGTCTCTATTGGCACTCATCAGTCTTGCATATCCTCGGTTGTGCTTGCGGTTTGAACTCCGGACATATGACATCTCATCAGCTCATGCTGTACGTACTTGGATTATCACGTTTGAACGTGCGAACGTGTTCACGCTTGAGAGGTGTAACTACTTTACTCGACGCCTCGGACCAGTGACTATCCTGGTTATATAGATCGGTTAGCCATCCTGTCAGGACTTCCCAGCCAGGTAGGTCCACGGACGCTTGACAATCCCCAGTTGCAGATGGTGACGCGCTCACTTCGCATATTGAGTATCCGGAATTACACTGGTGCTCCCTCCACGACGGGCGACAAAACGTTTGCAAACAAATTGCGGTGAACAAATCTACAGTCACCTGATCTGCATTCAACCAAATTATCATTATTTCGAACCACGGAAGCTTAAGGTTATAGGCTTCAATCTTCGTTTTTCTGGACACTGTTCAACCACATACAACTGCGATTTTGCTCAAGGTCGCTTGTTTGAATTAACCGTTTCCAATAATCTCCATATCCTGATGCACCACAGTCATTTACCATATCCGATTTCCCATCAGTGTATTCAGACTTCTGATTGAGAATTCATCATTGCTTATTTTTAGCTTCACCATGAGTTTTTGAGTCGTTCTGGGTTGAGTACTATAGAAAATGCTCCACCCTTGTTGCTTTTCAATGGCATCATTTTGGACCGTGTGGGTCTGCGTAAGATGGGTGGTTTTGAGGATGCTGTGGTGACATTATGCATGGAGGAGATGGTGAATGTACAACATGCCGTCTACCATGGTCAAATGTCCACTACAGACACAGTATTCAGCCTTTATCAGAAGAGAAATTCAGTAGTCCCCAGGTTCAACCCGCGAATACTTGCTACATCGGCTACAGCGACGGCACGTTACTTGGAGTTTGGGATCGAATCTCCCAGACGATCAACATGTGAGTTTATCCTTTAGGTTTTTATGCCTTCCTAATGGAAGTAGTTGTTGCCTTTTTGTTTGTTTGTTTTCTATCTATTTTTACGTTTACACCTCACCCTAACATAACTCAGAATTTCACAGGGACTACTTTATTATCTTCTTATGTAGATTCGGCTTGCCAGGCATTGTCTCAACCCTCGTGCCTCACGCGTGTTGTTTGACTGCGAGATGTTCAGGAGTGCCATGATTGAATGATGATGGCCATGATCGCGGTAGCTGATTGATAGTGATTGATAGTGACTTAACTTCTATACTTTTAAACACCCAAGTACCGTCCGGAATGAATGTTACAATAGGCAGATGCATGCATCTAATTATCCTTTTAAAGTCTCAAGGGTTTCGTCCACTGCGTTCGTTTGATGGAGATGTTATCATTGAATTGAAGGGCAAAAGTAGGTGTCCGGTCAGGTTTCGCAGACCATCGATTGCCTGTTTAGGGGAGTCGGATAAGCCATCATCTCAACCCATCCGTAAATGATATGTGAAGCAACTGATAGTGTAACTTGAAGAAGATGAAATCGTTATGAGGTTGAGCTACCTGGAGCTAAACTGCTGAACACTTTCTGGGACCACGGCTGTTCGGTGATAACCTTTGTCTCGGTAGCTTAGTGACTAACTTGCCAATAACGCCTTGGATCTGTTGATCTGGATACTTTCTGGGATCTCAGCAATCACCCCTTCGACCAAGATTCGCCCCAGACGGATTGGGTGGTTGTTCGACCCGGAACGTTTTGTACGGGTAATGCATGGGTCTTCTGCTAATGGAAAGCGGGATCTGACCACATACTGTTCTTGAGGATGTGAACTGCGGTCTGAGTTGCTTGTGCTGCTCGATGTTTATATGTTGTGCTGCATTCACCGAGGACATGCAGAGGATCTGTGGTGATTTCTCCATCTTCCACAGGGCTTTCATGGATAAATCTCATTACTATTTGTTTTCTTACCATCCTCTCAGCGGACGGCCCACCAACTTCGTCGGAGCTCCTCACTTTTTTTGTGGATCATATGCGGTACCTGCAGAAAGGCGGTAAGCGTAACTTGTTTAATCGTTCAGACCCATAGCGTACCTTAACTCCACCCTAAACCTTTATCAGTTTGATGATTGCCATTGGATGTCTCAAAGGCGTTTTCGTTGCTTAGTGCCATCTCCATTGAGCACCAGATTTTCGAACCCAAATCATTTCATCAGGACCCCCTTAATCTTACTTTCGCAGTTATTTACAAATATCTGTTCTGGATAGATAGTCAATTGAGACCGAGCAAATATGGAAGTGGAGCATTAGCCATTCAAGCTCAGGTTCAGGATTTCAACCAGAGGTGGTCTGTCTTGATGGATGGTGTGTATTGACGAGGACAACTGTATTGTGGAACAGTAACCATGTAAATAAACACGAACACGAGCACGGAGCAGTCGACAGTGGACCTCTGATCTGCACTACAGGGACTCTTATTCACTTGGGAAGAAGCTCCCACCCGTCCAACAGTGGCCAGAGTCAATTGTTTGAACTATGCTAAAATCGCCCCCTAAAACATGAGTCCTATGCAAACGGCTATTTAGAAATGCCAACTAAATGAGTGACCGGTTTGATCCAAGATGCGGGAAAAATTCATAAAAAATATCTACTTACTGTTGCGTATCACTTGGTCCCGACTGTAAAGTACGGAGCTGCCCCTCTTCTCCTTCCTTTTGAGTGACTATCATTCGAGTCAGAATGGGTCGGCTTCAGGACTGTCTTATACAGCTGCTGCTCGCGAGCGGCGATTGGCTCCCAGATCCAACAATTCGCCATCCAATAACAGATTCTGTAGTTTTCGTAGGCATCATCTGGCACCACTTATCAGCATGACTTCTCTTACCTTCTTTGTTGGTTACTTTCAAGGGCAAACACAACCAGAATTGGCGAAATTGTCTCCGGAATGTGTTCGCTCCCCAGGATGTTGTATGATTGTGCAAATAAGACGAAGCTTCCCGTTAAAAAATTGGGGCGATTCCTCATGGTATCATTTCGCATATAGTGCTTATGCGAACTCGTTTTTTTCTGTCTGGTTGGTTTAACGGGGTGCTTTCGTCTTTCTTTCGCAGACCTTGAGTCAGCTGTCAGACCAGTGACTGTATGGATTGTCGTCGGTGATTTGGATGCTATATTTGACAACCCACAAGACTCCGCGCGCCGAAGCCAGCTTGAACACGACTTAGGTTTAGTCCGTACAGCGGTTACTCATCTTCGCTCGACACACGCTTCAAAAGACCTTCGTGTGGGTCTGGTCTATAACCCTCCCATCGATTCATGGGAATCTCCATCGTCATCGAGTCGTTGGCTCACACGTGTTCTCCATTTAATCGGTCATCCAGTCCGAGTTCCACCCGGGACTGATTCACCACGGCTCTTGGAGCCCCGAACGAAGCTCATGGAACAGATGGCAGCACGTAATTTTGCTAACAAATTAATTAAAGAAGCTTTGGAGGCGTTGAATTCAAGTTCAGTTCTAAGGCCACTCTCGGAACTTGTTGTTTCGGTAGGTGATCGTCTTTCACACATAATTTCAGTGCGTGTGTTTGATGAGCTACTTCTTATCGTTTCTACTTGTTTATGTTTAGGGTGTGAATATACAGACACTGGAGACTGCACTACAAGCATTGGATCGTGCCGATTTCCTCCACGGCCACTCTGTCTTTTGTCAACAAATTTTGGGTTTCAAACCTGGAGAGCGTGGTGTTGTGATTAATGGTCGAGTAAGTTCTCCTGCTTTAGATTCACTGCAACGCACTTGCCAGTGTTAGTTACGTGTTCAGTCTGTAGCCCAAGCTTGTTACTACATTCTTCGTTTACTCACTTATACGTGAGCGAACCGTGTGTAGCGAGACACCTAAATCTGCGTATATGCTTTTTTTTTACAGATTATCGGTCCTCTAAATCCCACGGAGGAATTCACTGTGGACGACTTCCGTTTGATTGAACGAATGACACTAGATACGGGAGTGAAGGATTTGGGAAACACGCTTTTGGACTTTGCCGGAGAAGAACTTGGTGGCCCAGAAGCCATATCTGAATTGACCTGGAAGGTTTCTGCCATGCTTCCGATTTATAAAGAAACTTCCAGCACAGGGATCACAGACATCGTAAGCTGCACGGTTTTGTTGATCGCTTTACCTGATCTCACTCTTTTTTCGACAGGATGCTTATTATTCTCAAAGACGCGCTTCTATCTTTCAAAATGTAGGCCGAGTTTCACTTCATGTGGCTTAATTTGTGTCCGATGCAGTCCTCAAACACCGGGATTTCCTCCGAAACGGGATTTGAATTATCATGCTAAATTAACGGTGTGAAATGCGTCTCTGATTTCACGCTGCCGATACAATTAATGCTCACTTGAAATTCCGATATTAGCAGCACGATTCTTGTGACCACAGTTTAATGCATGACACTGCTCGAAGGATCCCTATCATCCCTGTAATCTCGGGTCACATATAAGGGATTGCTTTTAATCTCATCATTGTTTTTGCGCTGTGTAATCACTTCAAGTTCATTCACCCACATGTTTGGAAGTGTATCGAAATCTTGGTAGCTCGGGTGCGTTTACTGGCAGTTAATCTGTTTGTCGACCTTCCCAATTAGCTTGCTAGCGTTTTTTCACCACTCGAGGAGACGTCAGCACGCACACTGATTGGTCATGAAAAATTTGCAGGCTACCTGCTAAGATCAGCGAACGGATCAGCAGCCACCTGATAAACTGTCACCCATAGAGTTAAACTGACCAAAGGGACTGAACTTTCAGCAGACTGGATTGGGATGTATCCCCAGTGGATCAAATCAACAAAGTACTCAACAGGATCACTTGACGTATTGGGAAGTGCAAACGTGGTGAGGATGTTCCACGTTGTTTGGTTTAATTTTTCAGTTTTTAAGCGTATGATGAGGGAATGTTGAAAGCTAATTTTCTTTTCCAAGGGTGGCAGTTTGTTCAACAATCAGTTAAGATCTGTATTCCGATCTATCCGGGTTAAGCATACTAAGATTCACCTTCCAGTTGACGGTCACAATAGCGTATTTGATATAAAATCTTTGTTTTACCATTTCCGTGGCGTCTCCGTCCATCATTATGTTTGATTTTGTTGGCGAGATTGATCCTATATTCATTCATTCCAGTTTTTTTTGTGCTGCTGGGTTTGCTTGATCACACTCGTGTGGCATTTGTGATTTTTGATGAACCGGACGACTCATTTATCGGTTCTTTTCACCACAGGATACCGTGGAAGGTATTTTGAGCAAGAATCGGGTACGACTGAAAGAACTGTCCATCAATCACAGTGGATTTTTCATCCCATCAGACACCGGTGAACTAGCGTTTGACGTTCTGGCCATATTGAATCCCGGCTCTCGTGATGCTCAGCGTCTTTCACACATCCTTGCTGTAGTGCAACAGGCTCTTCCTTGCAATATGAGGGTGGTATTCAACCCTGTTGAGCCGATTTCGGAGCTCCCTGTGAAAAAGTAAGAGCGCATACCTACTCTGTGTTGAGTCTTTTTGTGTATTTTGACCTTGCGTTGCCTGTCATTACTCTAAAACAACTTTTGGAGGAAGGTTATAGCTGCTCTGGATATTTATTGTGCGAATTTCGTAACGTGATTCAAGGCTATTATATCACCTTGCGACACAACACACTACTCATAAGTTTGCTGAAAACTCTTCTTCCAGTTTCGCTTAACAGGTAGGCCTAATCCGCTAGTTTCGAATCAACCTTATGTTCTGTTGAGCAATGTATTTTATGCAGTTAAAGAAATACGCTTACTTTCACATATTGATATTAACGAGAGACTCAAATGATTAATCGATCATTCCAACTCAGTCTATTTAGTCTACATTTGTTGTGCTCCCCAACTAGGCTTTTTCACTGAATCTCGTTGTTAGCATATAGTAAAAGTGAGCCGTTGATATGATCGGATATTACAAACATTTTTCGGTCCTTCATGTAACCACATGAATTGAACATGGCTATGTAGACACGTGGCTAGCTCCGCTGCCTAACTGACCTGACTGCACCGATTAAGTGCACTCCCGTGTGGCGTTCGGTTTAACGGACTAGCGTGTGTTTTTCAATCGTCATGGCAGAAACGGTTGTTGAAAACCGCTATGATGGGCTATCGACATCTTAGAATCACATGCTTTTTTATCCCCTATGCCTTAGGGTTTCTGTTGGGTGTGTTCGAAAGTACGCTGGGTCGGTAAAACTGCATTATTGCATTACTCTAGCATTGGTCAACTCTAATACTGTTCGAAGTTATCGGTATCTTCAAGCTTCGGCATCATTTTCTGTGGGAACAATGGGCTTTTATTGAGTGTTCGTCCGCTTTCTACCAGGGTCTTCTATCCTAACGACTACATGACAATTGATCGCCAGTATTTACTATTATATTGCTCTCCATGGTGAGGATGTTCAGTTTCTGGTGAATACTTTATCTCTTCCAGTCGGGATTGCAATTTGTCGAAACCAGTAACGAGAATATCGTTTCTTATGTGAATAAATGATGGTAATCGTTTATCCGTAGTACACTTTCTTTTTCTGGCTGTTACGTCAACTGCAGAAGCACCAGAGCTGATATACTACCGGTGAAAGGAAGAAGGTCTTCGCTGCGGAGTTGTTTATTAGAAAACACCAACTGGACGGTTAGAGACTATTGGACAGGAAGGCAAAATTCTCATATGCATCTTATTTATAAAAACTGAATATCCGTCTTCTTCTTGAACCCGTCTTCTCGAACTCTCCTGAATATTCATTGGTCATCATTCAAACGTAAACGTATGCTACAAAGTAATTCCACAAATTCCGTGATAAATCCCACTGTTCAATAGACCCCAAGTGGATTTAAGAAGAAACATCACTCACATGCCTCATCAGTAGTTTCCACTGTTACACCGGGTCGCCTAAGTATAGACAGGCATCATCATCGACACCATGACATCAGTGTTCAACACTGATTCTTCACTGCCGTACGGTATAGACAGGAGCGGTGGAGATACCAGGATTGGATTTGAACCACGAGCTTTTCGCTCAGGAAGTTCGCGCCGTAACAAGTGGTCTATCTGGATGCGTGCGGATGAGTGTGTTAGATCATTACTTCGGGTACATTTGCAGAAACAAGAGATGTTGAATTTCACTTTTTGAATTAGTTCAGTTGACAGATTTTGGTTAAGTCATCTCCTCTTACACCCCATATTGAGGACTTTGGTGGGCACCATTAGGTTTTTCCTGGTTACTATTCTTCATGGAACCTCGAGTATTTTTACTGCATCAACAATTGCTAGTCCTTCCCATGCCATGAGGCAGTTCCATTTCCTTGGTCACACCGAAAGATTCACACCAATCCACCTATGCAGTGTATGCTCCTCTTCCTATGGCTCGTTCTTGTCATGTAGGTTGTTTTGATAATCATCATCATTTACCGAACTTTCGTTCATGTGGCCATTCCGATGTGCTGCCTGTTTCACACTAGTGACGAGCAGGATGTACCTATGCAGTGAGTTGTTGTTGGTGTTTTGAGTTGTCGGTTTTAGGTCTATTTTTGTTGTTCTAATCTGCTTCACCTTACTTCTTTACACTTGTCCATTCCTTCCCCAACGCCAGTTTCTACCGTTTCGTTTGGGAGCCCTCAATTTTTCCGTTCGAGTCATCTATCAGCACAAGCGTTTTGAATAAGGACCCTATTGTTCCTCGCGCCTTGTTCGCACATCTACCTGGTCAGCCTGTGCTCACTCTCGGCATGGATACCCCTCATGGCTGGATGGTAGCTGCGGTGGAGGCAGTCCACGATTTGGACAACTTGCGCCTGGCGGATGTCCACAGTGTGGTGGAGGCGGTGTTCGAACTGGAATATTTGCTCCTCGAAGGACACTGTTTCGAACAGAACAGCATGAAACCTCCTCGAGGGTTGCAGCTAACTCTCGGCTCCGCATCTGATTTGGAGCGTCATGATACAATTGTGATGGCCAATCTAGTGGGTTTATCTACTTTTGTACTCACATGTCTTGCGTTTTTGTTAGTTTGGTCTTCAACATCATTACTTCGAAAAGCAGCTTGCGCGTGCTGTGTAATGTATGTTACTCGGTGCTTAATGAACCCGGCATTTAGGTTTTTCGATTCCTTATCACTCAACTTGTTTGAAAGCACCATTTTAATTCCTGGCAATTCATCACTGCACTTATACGGGATTCAGCGGTCGTTTTATTATGTTTTTTGCCTTGTTTATATATCATCAGTTTCCTCTTCGCACAATCAGCCAAGTTTAATGACAGCATTTCACTTTTTTAGTTGGTACAGCTCTTCACAATAAACTCCGCCCGAATAGTTGGTCAGAATTCTGATTGACACATCTTGTTTGCCCATCACCCTCTTGTGGTAGCCTTTTTCTGCGAAAGGGAACCCGACTTCTCACGTGTCCCGTACCGTTGCCGCCCACGAACGGTGTTCACAGGCTAAGTCCATACAGATTGTGATCCACTTCTGATTCTAGGAACGCATACCGTATGCTCGGTCGAGACCCAACCCTTCCAAATTCAAATGGATGTTGATCAAGGTTCTCTGTTGCCATCCAGGACGCCAGTCCCATCGCGGACACGGTGAGGCGTCCAGTACAGGTTTGAAGAGCTCGCTTTCTGGTTTCCGAACAATGACCGAGTCATTGGAGAAACCACTGCTACATATTGCCTAAGATATGTATCTTCTAAGTTTTCACCGAGTAAGACGGTTTCATCGGCTATTCGAGGTCTTTAGTCCAATGCCTGGGCTCTTTTGGGCGCCGGGGTATCCATTCAGTGCCTGCTGCATCATTCAGTTGATTGCGAATTTAAGTAACACATGCGAAAGGGCATTCTTGTTTAACGCCGGAGACGGGGTCAAACTCACAAGTCTCCTCGCCGCATAATCTTACTCGAGTCTTTGATGGTAAATAACGCGCTTTGATGGGAGCACTGAGTATAGCCTGCACGCTACCAGGAAGAAGGATAGTCCATAGTCACTCACGGTCGATAGAGTCGAGCGAAGTGTGAAAATCAATGAAGCGAGTAATCGTTTGCTGCTGTGATTTCGTTAGGTGTTCCAGAATTCAGCGTCGAATGACTATGTGTTTCACGCAGCTTCTCTTTAGGTGCGGAAACAGCCTCGATCAAGTCTTATATTTTGTACTTTGGAAAATGTTTCGGGGAGCAGAGAAACAAAAACCTAAGCGGCAGTATCCGTGAGATTGAGCTCCTGATAATTTTCGCGTGCTGTTTAGGGGCATAATCGAGATGCCTCATTGAGAATGGATGGATTCGCCCTCTAAAATAGTACAGAAGAACGTGTTTAGAAATAGATGAGCACTACTAATACAGCTTAGGTGTGAAAGCCGTCCCCTCCGGGAGCTTTCCTATTTTCAACGCGCTTGACAACCGTACTAATTCCTACTTGAATAGTCGCTTCGCATTTATTGCGGTAGGGCCAATGACCGAGTCATTGGAGAAACCACTGCTGTAGGGCTCCGATATCGATGTTTGGAAGCTTTCTGTTTGAAGACTGGGGTGCTTAGCAGTTGGTTGGTGCATTCCACCTACCGTTTGTTTTTATTCGAGCAACTTGTTATCAGTTATCCGCTTTTTGCGTAACACTGGTTGTATGGACTAGTTCTTATCAGAAGTATACAAAGTGGACGGAAGAGCTCAGGAAGACCATAGACGTTTGTGGTCTTCTCTATGTTAGTGAATTTCAGGTTTTCTCAGAGCTTACTTTCGAAATAGGAACACTGCGTTACGCAGTGTGGACTACATTAATTATTGCTTACACGTAAGATCTAAATTGGGATCACTTTGTCGTTTTCCACGAACGGTCTTCCTTAATGAAACTTGGAGCTCACCTTCATACGATGTCAGCATTCAGCAAGTAGATTTGAAGAAAGGTTTGACCTTGCTATTTCGTAGACACAGATCCAGTGTCATCGCCGACCGTGTTTTACAGATTCAAATAAGGGAATTGTCATCGGCAATAAACATTTGTTTTTTCTCTCCCCTATATCTGTCCGTTAAACTGCGCTGGCGGCTTCAGTACTTCAAAATTTCGGGAACTTTTTTATTGCATCCAAGTTACTCAAGTTCGTCTTTTTCCCATCGACTTAACTACGGATGAGGACTGTGTGATCAGCCGGTCTGTATAACCTGGTTTCCATGAATTGTTCATTGAAGCAATCACTAACGCCTGATTATTTTCCAACCACTCAGGGCTATTTCCAACTTAAAGCTGGCCCGGGATTATGGCACCTGAACATTCGTGCTGGTCGGTCGAGAGAGTTTTACACCATGGTGGAGTGAGTTCACCTATATCTGCATTGCTTACATTTCCTTACCATATCGCTGAGTAAACCATGAGACCGTGCATGCAGTAGAACCTGAGTAGGCTGTTCAGTAGGCCAAATCCACATTCCACACGATTGTTGAGGTCCGTCATACAATAACAGTACTGTTGCTCGGCATGTCATATCACATCAGCACTCACGATGGTGGTTTTTACTGGCTTAGGAAGAGTAAGCAATTGCTCAATTACAAGCAACCAGAGCTGACCAATACGAGTTGCTCAGTTTCCACCATACATCCTGGTTGTCACCTACACATTCTGAGTTCGTCAAAGCTACTTTTCTACGGAAAGGACACATGGGTTGTTGATTTCGTAGGCGTGTTTAAAGGACGCACTATTTGTCATTTGGCACGATGTTCGCTTTGGCTTTTTTGTTGCTGTGAATACCTGTCACAGGTTGTAAAGAGGTTTTACTGTTGGTATTGGCAGGAGGGAATTTTCGAGAACTGTAAGCAAATAAATGCGCGCCATGCTTTTATCATTGTAGCAACAGGATTGTGGTGGTATATAACGGTTGGTTTGAAAACTCAAAGGTTATCGCAATAAACCTGATGCTTGTTGCGGACTTTAGATTATTCCATGAATTGAATATGACCAAGCTCCTGCTTAAAATACTGTTTGCTCACATTGTCACATTCCCATTGTGTGAAGCGTTTTCAATGGGTTTCACCGCAGATCCATATGAATGCACGCGTCTGTGTGTGATCAGCTGAGATAGGCGTAAAGGGCTGCATAAATCAAGTGAATCAAGGAATTTTCATGGAAAGACGGTCGTCGTTGAGTCACTTTCTGTTCCCTGTAGAACAAATTCGTCTTTATACTAAAACTAAGTCCCCAAAGTCAAAGAATGGGAGTGATTCTCTTATGAGGCATGTTATTAATCAAACAACGTCCAAATATGACCGTTCACATAGTCATCAACATTATCACTGACAATACCGGTGCTTGCCGTAGGGTCCCATAGATGACTACTGCAAAGAGATTAGGAAAATTTTTCAGTACACAACTGAGTAAATTCTAGACTTTTTGACAATAGTGCAACTCGATTCTCCCTTTTTTCGACTTGAAAACTTTAGTGCATACTATTGCTTAATGTTGTCCAATAACCTGTTCTTGATAGTCATTCATATCACCACATCCGTCAGCTATGGTCATCCACAGCTACAGGGGAATATTGCTTGCAGTCTTCTGCCTTGTATATCTCAGTAGCTAATCAAGAGAGGTGTACTCTTTGTGTTACCGTAACCTCCACAGCATTTTTTTTTCATGATGATTAGCAGTGCAGTTATTCCATTTCTATCGTTTTGTTATTTGGGATGAACATAACTGTTACTTCTAGCACCTGAATGGGCGGTACCCCCACTTTTTAGCGATTTACTTTTTCCTTGTACCCGTAGTGACGAAGACGTGGGAACGTCTTTGGGTTCTTTCGGACTATTAACTACCATTGATAGCTTTCGATCGAAAATCATTTCGGTACGTGTCACAAAAAGACCTGAGCGTATGGCTGAAAACCTGCTCGATGAGTCGGAGAAAGCCACCCCAAAGAAACCAGAAGAGTCCTGGAGTTGGTTATACAAAAACTCACAAGTTTGGTCTACCCTGTCCGATTATGCTGAAGCCTTTTGTCCATCTTGGTTGACCAGGTGAGTGGCTGTGTGTGAACGGAGATGTGAATTTAGAGTCCAGCTTCCACCGCATCTACCTAATCTGTTTGTTTCATACGCAATACGAATCATGTTTCACCCTCGAGATCCCCGGGGTTTCTAGTAGCACAGACCTCAAACGAATTCAGTCGTATTTCGTGAGTAGAGCGCTCAGTTGCGCAACCGTGATATATTTCTTTACTTGGTGAAAAGTGCATTTCTTGCCTGATTGCTTCTATGGTTTCGTGAGTCATCCAGTAACTGATACTGTACGACCAACGTGTTTGCATACTAATCGATCTGGGCGGGAGACCAAATGGGTGGATCTCTTGTTCGTAATGTTTTTCAGCCAAACATGCACTTTCAAGTTGACCTCTCTTCACTTCGATCGACATGTAAAATATCGAAGTGGCTTTCCTTCATGGGCACTGCTCTGATACTTGTAATTCACCCCTGTCATTTTTCTCTATCACCGCTACCTTGAGGTCTATGAATTGAAAACCAGTCTGTCCTGATTGCCGAATACGTGCGAAATTTTCCAATGGAACGAATGATTGTGCAATGCAAAAGGCACCTAAGTCTGCGCTGGACTCATGTTTAATACATCTAAATATTTTCCCCTTCCTGGGCAAAAATGTCTAGTGAGGTCGTTATTAGGTGATATTTTTGGGGTAGACACATCAGGTTGTTCAGCGGCAACGTGTGAACAGTTTACAGATATTGTTCGACTGGCTAGCGAAAGATCCGTTTCGAGAGGTTCCGCGGGTGGAATTTCGTCAACTCTCATAACAAGCGGTCAAACAATCGATCTCAAGAGGAAGTGCTTATCCATTACATGGCAAACGCAAAGCTTGTAGTCATACTTGTCTCTTTATGTTCCCCTATCTTTGAGCAGTAACGATGTCTTCACTCCACTCAGGGGTAAAATGAACACTCCCGGAATCCAGACGTAAATTGCAACTAGATTGATCATCAAAGGAACGGCAAATACACTCATTCATTCACCAGTTTGTTTTTCATGGCGTGTTCACTTGAAGCACACCTGAATCTTTCGTTTACACTGTCCTTCAACTGAATGTGCTGCGCTTGGTGCATACGGTCGGCGGAGATCCGAGACTGCGCCTACCTGATGAGTTCCAAGAATGTGAAATCGGGTCGTTGGTAGTTGAAGGGCTTTCAGCAACCCTACAACTAGTGTGTTACGTCTATACCGTCTATTGAGACGTAAATTGCCACTAGATTGATCATCAAAGGAACGGCAAATACACTCATTCATTCACCAGTTTGTTTTTCATGGCGTGTTCACTTGAAGCACACCTGAATCTTTCATTTACACTGTCCTTCAACTGAATGTGCTGCGCTTGCTGCATACGGTCGGCGGAGATCCGAGACTGCGCCTACCTGATGAGTTCCAAGAATTGTGAAATCGGTCGTTGGTAGTTGAAGGGCTTTCAGCAACCCTACAACTAGTGTGTTACGTCTATACCGTCTATTGCGATATCTCGAATATCATAGAAACTGAAACATGAGACGGCCTGGTTCAGCACATCCAGTTGATGAAGAACTTTATAAACGAGTGATTTAGCTGGGATTCAAACGAGTCTCCCTTGAGAGTCAAAATGAGTGCATTTGTCCAATTTCGTGCAATTTGGGTTCAAGGAGAACATCAGACTGCTGAACGTTAAGGAGGACAACTATAATGATGGGCCACCCAACAGTTTTCATCAACCTTACGAGCAGTATGCTATGTCTAAACACATGTTTCGGTTGCGCAGATCGATGAACTGGTTTATGTGTTCTATGTAAATCCAGACGTGCTGGGTGCATTGCCAAATACCCATCGACTCGTTTCTCTGCGTTTGTCTGATGTTGACTGATCACCGTGAGGCGCTTGCAGAAAACGGATTGAATATTGCCTGCGCGTGGCAGCCCGTCTTAAGTCACACACACTAACTCTCGTCCCTTTTGCAAACCGTCTGGTTTTCGTCCTTTCAGCTTCGTCTCTGTATCTGTCATCCTTATCCTGATAGCTAGTACTGATCGCATCTGACCCACCCACTGACTGTCTGTCAGCGTGGATGCTATATTCCTTTTTACACTCAGTCTCTAGGCCCATTATTTCTAGATTTATCACTCGGTGATCTTATGTCTTTTAACTAGTCTATTTTTAAACTGATGTCTGCTCTTCTTACTGCTGGAAAATTATTTACGAGATCGATTTAGGGTGTTATGTATGTTTCGCTCCTATCCACTTTGGTCGAAACAATTTGCGCGCTTCTGCAAAGTACCATTTCATGGACACTTTCTATCTTGTTTTCGTGGTTCGGAAAGTTTAAGGTCCCGATGTGGGATGCCCCTGATCCTTGATTCCATTTTGTATTACGTTTCAAAGAAACGGATTGTTTGGTTTAATACCGGACGATTAGCGGGTGAAAACGTGAAGTGGTCCTGTGAACGGTGATGTGAATTTTCATCTTATAGTTTCTTCTCATATAAGTGTAAACCGACTTCCTCCAACGATCGATCCTCTGTTGTCTTGAATGGGGAACAGTGCCAGACTCCAGCATCCTGCTGAGCAACATCGCTATTGGATATTAAAAATACTATCTGTTACTATTCGAGGACATTCCGTTTGTCAGGCGATAATCTGTGTTATTCCTCCGAATTAGGAGACGCTGTGAGAAAACGGAAGGAACACGGATAAGTCTGTCGTTATCGATCGATCCAATTTTTCCCGTTCCTTGGAGGTAATTGCGGGATTCCTTCAAAAATCCTTTCCGCAAAGGAACCACTGTCGTATTCTTCCATCCGCAAGAAATGAGATAAGGAGGATTCCGGCAAACGCCGTTCGTATGTTCAGTTCTACAAACTAACGCCCGTTGTGATCGGATGACTGGAGACTGGTCATTTTAGGAGCAAATGGCACAACCGGAATGAATGATCAGCTATTCAGTGTGGGAATCCTGAGAGGAAAATATTGACTCCAAATGAATACAAAATTAGGGGACGATTATCCTGAAAGCTAATCTAGAAGCCGTCATTTTGGGTGGATGACAGGAAGGTCAATTAAATTGAAACCATTCACGCTGCTGTCTCCATAAAATAATTTACTGCTTAGTCTATTCTGAAATTCAGTATGTGTTCTCGATATCGAAATTCTTCTGGCTAAATGTTGAACTAGGAAAGAATTAAACCACACCAGACGTGCCTTATGAAGAGCGCCACTGCTTGTTCGTCCTCTGGTTTTGTTTCTTGACTGAAACATGGGACGGCTTTAAATTACGAACGTGTCTCCAATACAACTGTCTCTTAGCTTTTTCTTTCTATGTTCTGTCAATAGGTAATTAAGCTGTGTTTTGTATCAATGCCACGGTCTCTGTGTGATACCCTATCGTGTGAAACCTGACCTATAACTGTTCAGTTTGTTCCTGTTAAGCCATGATATTCTGTTCCAATTTTCATTCGTAATACCACTGGTCCATTCGTTCATTAGTCATTGGCGATCGCAACAATTGTCGCTTGTTTTTCCACCGTCACTTTGACAAAGCCGATTTATGTTGTGCTTGTTTTTGTCAACTTCCATACAGTCAATCACCTCATGATTTTACTCTGACTGAAAATGACTGTATCTTTGTGTTCTTCGTACTTCTGAAAATGTTTGAACTTCGTCTGACCCATGTTTTTTCGGTATATTTTTGGTGGAATTATTCGTGATTTCATCTGTTCTGCTTTGCTTTGTGTTTCAAGCCTTCGCAAGTCTTTGCAGACTCATGTACCATGGCAGAAATGTTCACACAAGGTCGAAACGATCAACGTGTTCTCTCTGGCTTCTGGGCACCTTTACGAAAGACTGCTTCGGTGAGTTTTCACCTGCGATATGTTTGCTTGTAGACGAAGTTGCCATCGATCAGTTCCCTCGGGTTGAACGGCACATGTGCACCGAAAGTACCACAACTAAATTATTTATTTGTGGCCAGTGAGTGCAAGCAAACGTTGGTGTTAGTTGGTGTAGACAGTGGGAGCACAGCGCTGTGTCCGTATTGGTTGTGAGATCGTCAGATGTTTTGACGTTCATGTTGAGTCCAGATGATATGTGGGTGGGTTGCTTTTGGAACACTGAGGAGTGGCTTTATCGGAACCTAATGGTTGTTTTTCTCGTCAACGAAAACACTGAGTCGCCCGTTCTTTTGCGGTCCGTTTACAGTCAAGTCGAAACTTAAGCTAGTTCCGTGCTTGATCATTGACTGGATCGAATGGAATTCATCCTTAACTCAAAGGCTGACAGCTGTTAGTCACAAATACGTCAGCTGTACCATTCTTCCATCCGCGTATTGAGAATCTATCTTTAGTCCAACAACAAAACTGAGGGAAAGTACTTCAGTGCTTATCTCCGGCCCGAGGTGATGTCCTATTTGAATACGGACTTTCGAGTCACCTACATCTGCTCTGCTAGTGTTGGCTTTGGATTCGGTGAATCAGTGGACAGGATTTCGGTGATTGTTTTTGTGTTTAATATCCGAAACTCCGCGGTTGTTTACTTTGAGAACTAGCTAATGGATTTTGCCTCGGCCGGCTTGAACGAAAATCAACCAGCATATTCAACCGTATCTCATTCAACTCGCTTTACTTTCGAAATTTTGCGAACATTTCCCTTTTTTGGCATGGATTCACTCCTTTTTACTTCGCTGTCTACATTTGCACAGAATTATGATGCTGACCGTAATCAGGCATACCAAGTCTCCGGTGAAATTCTGGTTCTTGAAAAACTACCTGTCACCCACCTTCAAAGACTTCATTCCACACATGGCCGCTGAATATGGCTTCGAATATGAACTGGTCCAGTACCAGTGGCCCAGATGGTTGCATGCACAAACGGAGAAGCAGCGCATCATATGGGGATACAAAATCCTATTTCTCGATGTTCTGTTTCCATTGAGTGTCACGAAGATTATCTTTGTCGATGCCGATCAGGTAAGACTCTGGCTCAGAAAAGCTGTTCATAGTTCTAAGTCCTCATTGTCCTGTACCACTTACACCTTCCAAATCGGCTACAGGGGTGAACCTTGCTAACCATTTATTTCGAATTCGAAATACTATTCGGACTATTCTCAACATTACATCTCGAAACCCTACGATTCGGAAGAAAACCGACTCAGATTTCGTTCCACAGGTTTTTCGAAGCAACTGTAATATCCTGTAGAAAACATACCTCGAAATCATCATTATTGTTATCGTGCTTTTCTCTCGACTCCACTGTGCGCCTAAAAATGCTCATATAAACCCACGTCCTCTGGTATGTACATAGAGATGAGCCACACGTTACTGCATGGCCTTAATAGCCGTTTGGTCACCACTCCTCTGGTTCGCTTCTGAGACTTCGTAACACTAAGGGATGTGTATTTTAAGAATTATCCCCTTCGTTCATGTCGAAAAGAGTCTTTCATGTTTCACTCCACCGTTCCAACCTGGATCACTGTATTATATTATTATTATCTTTCTGGGTTTTCGATTCCAATGTTTTTTTTATGTACACGAACTTTCTGAACACCTCACAGCCATCAGTTTACGATTCCCCTTGACATTTTATTTATACGCAATTTTTCGCTTATCGATCTGTCTGTTTCTCATGTCTTGATACGGGAAAAGCCGGTCTGGCTAACGGACTAGATTCAGCGAGACAAACACACCAGTGAAAATTCACAAGAATCCATCATGTGACACGTTTCGTGTTTGTTAAGACTGATCACTCGTGATTCGTCTGTCTTCATTAGCTCATCTGGCTATTTCCACTTTGAATCACGTAGCCGTGTTTACAAATGGCATCCTTTTTTGACTAACGGGTACGTCTTGTACGTGCTAGCCTTTAATCACTTGTCAGGTTGCTGATGTATGCATCCCACCCATACCTTTTCCCAAAACTATAATTCTGACAAGACTTCGGTGTGACGGGCGTAAAAGTATTTCTGGCTCATTGTGTCAGTGCAATAGCTTCATAACCTCTTGTTTGTGTTTACTGAGGGCGAGCGAACTGGCAACAGTGTGCGAGTGTCCTGATAGTAGAGTCGCTATACTGGACCATATCCAGTTGAATGAATTGTCGTGTTCCAGTTTCCTGACAATATTGGGCGTGAACCTGTCTGGCGTTTTCGGCCTCTATAACGATGACTTTGGTTTCTTCAACATGCGACTCCGTTTTGCCGATAAATTTGTTGTAGCCGGGGCTTTTCGGCCAATATCAAAAAGCATAGCTCTTCAGTGCGTGTGAATCAAGGCCACTATCCTTGAGGACTGAGATTTCAGACGGTTTATCACTGGTGTTGCTATGGTGCTGGTCAGCTGATCGTTGTGAAAGCCCCATCATTAGTAGCATATATGGTTATATTAGGAAAGATTTGACGTCACTAGTTCCGTGACCAACTTGGCAGCAACAGTAGCATCTTTTTTGTCTACTGCGGCCACAGGGTCCGTCTTCTGAAGTGACCCTGATGTGGCTCGCAGATGTTGGTCAGAGTGGTGTTCACGAACTACGTGAACACTGTCTTTTCTTTCGGTATGTGTAGAGACCACTCAGGCGATCGCCCTGACATATAAGTCCACTGTCGATCTACAGCTGGGTTCCAGCGGACACTTCTTTCGTAGTCGGTCAACCTCTTTGACTAGTATCGCAAAGTCTCACAAACACTAGAATTCGTCCACCATTCACCTTGATTTCGCCCAAATTATTGACTGAGATAGAACTAGTACCAACAGAACTAACAAGTTATAACTCCTAATTGTTTGTATTTTTGAAGGATGATCGTACTACTGTGTGCACACGATCATCCTTCGCAGACGCTTTGGCATCTCTTTTGGAGTTTCCTGGCGATGGAGTCGGGAGCTTTATATTCTATTAGCACTGACGTGCTGTAAAATGTAGTTGTGAAGCGTTCCAGTAACAACACCAACATTAGTATTTCTTTGTCCTTTTTCCTGTAGTTCTCTGCAGTTTTCGAAATAATGTGATTTCCGTAATCTATTGACTCGTTTCTTTGATTAACCTTCGAAACCGGTGTGAGTGTTGTTGCGTCGGATGACTAGCTGTTGCTCCTAACAGTGGAAAGGCAAAACGCGTGCCTCTGCTGCATCTAGCTACATATCTTTTATTTGGGTTCAGGTTCATTTCCACAGCCTTCATATTGCGTTCATGTATCATCTTGTTCGTCCCCAGGTATGGCTAATCTCTGTCGATGAGCGTCGTTGATTCTTGTCGCTACTCTTAATCCGGCCAAATCGGTGGATTTCAACTCAGTATCAATTTATCAGCTATAAATCATGTATCATTGGTACATTGGTTCCAGCTTATACAGTTTCTATCACCTGAAAGTGGGAAGACATGCGGGATATCGTCAAATGTTGGAAGCGATAGCCTTGATGCACGAGCGATACTAATTGCGCGACAGAGCTCAAAATAGCTCAGTGGTTTATGCACGAGCCTACTCACGGGAGAGTCCGCGGTTCGAACCCAACCTCTGCATCTCGACTGCTCCTGTGTAGGCTTGGGCAAACCAGCGATATCTCAACCCTCGTGCTTCCTTCTGGTTGCATAGTGGCTGGGGACCGAAAGAGGGTTACAGGTGAATCACCATTATCACAATTGGGTCATTTCTGCCAGTGTCATTAATCAGCGGCTCCTTGAGTCCCCTGGTCCTCATCCAGGGAGGCGACAGTTGTCGACCCACTATCAACCTCTTGGTTGCTTCCATTCAGCACAGGGCTGGGCGAAAAAAACCTTTGCGAGGCGAAAGATCCTCTGTCAAGTGGAGTACATGTTCTAATAATCGTACTCAATGAAGTGTGAGTAATTCGTGTATCGTGGGGGAGTTCCTCCTTAAAACCACCTGGCACACCTCAGCATCATTAATCCAATGTTCTTACCAGACCTGACCAATGCTTTGGAGGCAACGACGGTCAAGCACTGACAGCTTCCCTGCGTCCTCTCTGCATAGAGACCATGAAACAGAATGGATTGCACTGTGCCCTTGACAAACTGACGTCACGTCGGTGCCATAGGTGTCGAATGTGGGCAAGAGCTGCCATGGCGTTCCTGATTTGAGAACTAATCTCCTATCTAGCTAGTCCACCGTAACTGACACAACTGCCCAGGTAAGCAAATTTATCTACCACGACGATTGGCTTGTCTGCAAGCACGACGTTTGGATTTGATCCCACTCAATCTTGTAGCAGCACTGCACATTGCAGGTGTGAAGCGCATGCCAAACCGAGCGGCAGTTTTATTTTGATTAGTTAGAAGATTTTGCATTTTTGAAGGATCTGAACCAAGAAGAGCAATATCGTCCGCACATTCACTATCTGTGAGGAAACGTCCCAGGAGCATTTCGACTCCCGACCCCTTAGAGGCAGGCATGGAAAACTCAGGAAGCACATCAATAAAGAAGCTGGAGAGGAAAGCTGAGAGAGGACAACCTTGTCTTGAACTGTTGGAAGTGGTGAAATCAGTCAAAAGCTTGTCGTATACTCGCATTCGCCCACAGCATTTCGCTTAGTGTCCTCATAGAGTATATAAATTTAAAAGGGACACCTTTGGTCGGTAGAATTCAGAGCAGTTTTCAAATCAAGAAAACCAACCAAGATGGGACTTTTAAAGTAGTGGTACTGTCAGGAACTTGTCGCAAGGTGGAGATATGGTTGACGCATCCTCTACTGAGGCGAAAACGATGAACTTGCTCAAAATAATGAAAGAGAGCAGCATGGATACCACGACTACCGGATTGACGCCACGATGGTTTTCGGATGGCTTTCTTGCACCCCTTTTGTAGATTGGGTTGACGGTCGATGAGCTCCATTCTACTGGTATTCTGTTTTAGTTCCAAATTTTTCGCAGTATAGTCGTCAGACTGTTCTTCACCTTTAAAGATTGTGGAGTGCATATCGTGTGGGTTAGGTCGTGTTGAAGGATTTATGTCGTTGACCGCAAACTGGTGTCGATGTTCTATTCAGGCCCGCTGGGTTCATCCGGCGGTTGTACTAAAAGAGACCAGCTGAAATGTTCAACTCGCTACTCAAGGGGACTATTTTGTGAGTGAATTGCCGTTCCGTATTTTTCGCATACTGTTTCGCCGACGTTTGTCTCCTTTTGCCTGGTTGATCGAATCGGCTGAAATACGGAGCGGTTGTTGCCTGTGAAGAGCACCATCTTCATCTCCTGGGCCTTCGCAATCCATCGGCGTTTTTTGTCATTCTTCAAACTCCTAATTGACCGTTTTTTTTTTGAGAATCTGCGTGCATCATCACAGTCGCTGTTTGCTGGTATGGCCTTTTTGGTAGCCGTAAGACTTGCTGTCCGCTGTATATTTAGTGGAGTCGGATAGCTTTTACAGACAGTTGTAAAAACAGAGGATAGCTTCTTTAGCTCGCTTCCATTCAACCTCCAAGCAATCTTGGTCGTCCGCATGACTGTGTTTTCAGTAGCTTTCTAGCCAGATCAGCTGGCTAGAAACTGAAATTTGTCGAAGTTAGTGAGTTGAATTACTACGCTTTGGCACGCTTAATGTTAACGGCGAGTGAAGTGAAAACCGGGCCTGCACAATGGCTTGATCAAAGTCAGAAGGAACAGCAATCTCTAGTTGTAGCCCTCCATCACCGCATGGTCCGATCGAGTCCATGACTGTCCTGCGGGTGGTGGCCTCCAAGTAACCCGATGGGAGAGTTTATGTTGGAACTTTGTACTGGCCAGGAACAGATGATGATTTGCACACAACTGAAGAAGTCACTCCCCATTATGCGTACGCTGAGCATGGACTTCAAATCTACCACCTATTTGTGTTTCTTCCAGACTTAGCCGTTTATCGCATCGATCTGCACTGATTTTAATTGAGCCAGACAACCACAAGTGCAAAGAGAACTATTTACTTGAATTCATTCCAGTGAAGCGCTTTCAGCCTTGAGACTGAGTGCAGTTACACACTATAGGTACCACGAGCCACGAGTTAGAATCACCAGATACCCGAAGATTGAAATGTGGAACATCCGAGCTCATCCTGAGCAGCTTAAAGTGCACGACCGAAGTGGGGTCTTTTATGCGTGTTTCAGAGACACAACATACATCGGCAGAGTGGGTAAGCAAGGTTTCCGTAAGAGATGCCTGTCGCCCAATTTGACATTGAGTACGTACGTCGTAGGCTGCAACGTTTATCAGATCTTATGAGGTTGGTAAATGATTATTTTGTTCATTTTCCTGGGCGACGGTTTAAGCACGGATCACTGGCTAGGGGACTGGCAGATGGGTTGGAATCACTGCACCGTTCGACGAGTGGGGATGGGGTGTAGGAAAAAGGCCGGTGGGCGAAGAGCTACAAGAGCCAGTGATACTCCTCGGTAGCCCAAATCGAAGAAGGCGTTTGGTTGATGCACCCAACCTTGAGCTTTTGGTTCAAAAGCCTTCCCCCAAAGCAGTGGGACGATGTAGCTTTTCGTTCGGGGAAGATGCCCCTAGCCTCTGACTCAAAAGTCTGAACCGCGAAACAACTTTTGTTAGGATATACTTCAGTGACTTTTCACGAAGCCAATGACTCAAGTCTGATCCACTTGGCTGCAGGGGGAGAGCCCGGCCCGAAGACACAGGGCATACGACATTACTGTCTGAATCCCAATGTGGCTGCGTATGGTATGTGCCTTTTGAACAGCACCGGATTGTTTGGTTCTAAAACTATCTAAGTCGTATTGAATAATGCGCCGGTAGTCACGGTCAACCTCGTATGATCAAAATGTGCGGTTTTTGGTGCCGACCTTTTTTGCCCATTCTTCTTCCATAAGTATGGAGATGCTGGTCGCCTGAAAGAAACGCCCTATGGCCTTCATCCTCCTATTAAGTGGAGGGTAGTGGATAGTAGAAATTTACTTCCACACCGTCTCATAAAACGATTTCTTGTAGTATGGGGAATCGCTGTTCTTCGTCGGGTTGCTCCACGTAGGCCTTACTGGTATCGTTTGGGAACGGAGTGTCAGTTAATGTAACCCTCAGGCCCTTTGTGGCACTGAAACCCAACCCCCCAGAACAGTGGCATTTTTATGGAACTATTAAAAATACACTTATTTCCCTTTTGAAGCTTATCGGAGTTCTCAAGTTGCGACAATTAAAAACAAGACTGTCTGCTTAGACAGGGTTGAATAATACATTAAGTCGATCAACATATTATCCTTAGCCTAAAGTAAAGTCCACGGCTTCTGGTTCGCAAAACTTTGTTTATTCTAGGCCACAGAGTTTGTTGTACGTTAGTGGGTTACTCTATACTTTTTCTTGGTTGGATAGTCACACTTGTTTATCGTTATATTCTAGCTCAAACAACATGTCCTCATTGTGGTTTCACGGCACAAAACAGTTTTTCCTTACAACTCATTGAAGTCGGTTTCATTACCGCTTCTTTTGGGTAGATCCAAACTGTCCAGAGAATCGTCCATTTTTGTAATGCACAGCTCGGTTTGATTTTATGGGGTACAAGCTAGCACTTTCCCATCATTTTTTATCGTAACGTTTCAAACATCTTTTGTACAGATTGTGCGTGCAGATTTGCAGGAACTGGTCAATTTGGATCTTCAAGGAGCCCCGTACGGGTACACACCGTTTTGTGACTCTCGAAAAGAAATGGACGGGTTCCGCTTCTGGAAGCATGGTTATTGGGCCAATCATCTGGCTGGTCGGCCGTATCATATCTCTGCACTCTATGTGGTTGATTTGACGCGATTCCGACAGTTAGCAGCTGGAGACAGGCTCCGTGGTCAATACCATGGTCTCAGTCAGGATCCGAATAGCCTGTCCAATTTGGATCAGGATTTGCCGAACAATATGATACATCAGGTCAGTGTCTTTTATCCATACCATTGATCCAATTGTGACAATTGTGAAAGGTGTCTGATACACATCTGATGATTTCTCCTCCCTTAGGTACCCATTAAGTCACTCCCACAAGAATGGCTCTGGTGTGAAACATGGTGCTCAGACGAGAGCAAAGCACGAGCCAAAACAATCGACTTGTGCAACAATCCGCAGACCAAGGAACCTAAACTTTCTGCCGCGATGCGAATCGCTCCTGAATGGGTTGGCTACGATCGTGAGATTAAAAACCTATGGAAACGCGTCTATTCTACATCGGGGAGTTCCACAGAATCGGCAACCTCCGACAAGGAAGCAGTTGTTTCTTCGCCTTCTATTCCCACCGAACCGCCCGAGGTTCATTCTGACTGTGAGGGCTTTTTCGTTCACTGCATTGATCTTATATCATTCACTCCTGAAATAGTGTTTTTGTGTTTCTTTTAAAATCAGCACACAAAGGAGTACAAAATGAACACGAATAGTGTTTTTGTGTTTCTTTTAAAATCAACACACAAAGGAGTACAAAATGAACGGCTTCGGTAGCATCTCTTCTGGCAAATAAAATATGCGATAGGATCCGAAAGTTGCCGAAAACCTGATGGCTGTATTTGCGAGAAGAGACGATATCGAAACGGCTTGTTTGCACATTTTCGTAACTTCAATTCGATAAAAATGCGTCAACCTCAACCTCCCTCAGTCATGCTAAATGCCCTGAGCTTAGACCGGATCGCTAGATCTGTGCGTTTGTCATTGAGTACTCAACAGCATACTGTTCATTTTTGGTGGCGACCAGTTCTCGAACGAACGAATCTCTGTTAACATAACAAGCATTCACAGGAAGCCTTATTACTATATCCTTGGGTTTAATAATACTGGCAGGGTCATGTCTGTGTGCATCCTATCGTTTGTTCTTGACACTGGTCAGCGAAAAGTACGCTTCATTGTAACCACCTATGGTAGAACTTGTTACTTCACACACGGAGCTTTTTCAGAGTGGGCCAAACTGACTACAAGGCCTAGGCCCAACAGTCCACTCAGCCCTCGGTTTAGGCATCGTAGTGTTTTGTGCCCACACTGTTAGGTGGAATGACTGAAAATGCTTACAAACAAAATAGCGACCAGGGATGGCACAACGGCTACTGTATTGTTTGAACGAGTAACTTATTGGTATAGCTAGGCGAGCTGTAGATTCGCAGTGGATATTGTTGCAGGATTACCTCGCGCTATCTTGATACCCTTGTTCGGCGCATTACGATCCAATCGTACCCGTGTCCCGTGGGATGAGCTCTCGGCACCCTCACGATCTTGTGCAACCAACCTGGGATAAGCTCATTCTTCGCCATGCATCATAGTTGCTGCCAAGAAGAAACAAAAGTCACTTGATATTGACTTCATATCGGTTTGTCAAAAATTGTCTTATGCCACTCCCACCTTTGTTTTCGGAAAACTTCCCTCTTCCCCAACATATCTTCTATACTATACTATCTATCTACCCGTCTGTGTCTCCCACCACCTTGAATTTACAGGCTTATCAGTAGTCGCTGCACGTTTCCTATCAAACTTGTAGTCACCCAACCCAAACCCATTCTGAGTCAGGTATACAATAAATCTTTGAGTTAAACCATGTTGACTTCCATTATGTAGACGATTACCCGAATTCTTGTTGCTCACTGAATCTTTGAACAAATTGTTTGCTTGATGACTGCTGGTTTAACGAGGTCTTGAGAATAAAATGCTTCGACGTTCTTATATTTTAGATCGATCGGAGAAGACCGAACTGTAGTGGCGGGAACGTCAAAAGAAAATGTTTGTGGTGTTTTTCCGGACATGATGTACTTCCCTTTACGTCCATCTTCTTCCATTCGCCGAAGTTCTATGTATTCACAGCTGCGTGTTCCATGTCAGCGGTTTCTTTTTTGATGCCGGTTTTCTGTGCCCAATTTTTGGCTGTGGGTTTTCTATTCTCCTCCGGTGCGGGAAACTGTTTCGTATATTGTGCGTGTTGGTTTGCAAATCCTCCATCGCTTGGTGGGCTTTGGTTGCGTCCTTCTCGTCTTTTTAAAAGATTATGTCGTCAGCTTATTTTGAAGTGAAAATCCTGTTCTGTGTACTCTTAATTCGTTCGTTCGAGCTTATCTGGCGGCATTTTCCATTGACCTTATCGACCAGCTGACTGCGCTCAAGGATACATGCTCGAAAGGTTTTTGTATGCTCACATTTGTGCAATCGGTTTTACTCTCAGGCGACTTTCGGTGGGCCGTTTCATCCTCTATCTAATGGACAGCTGGTTTATTAGACATAATCTTCGTCTTTTGATGGATCATCTTTCTGGGGGTGAGACTTCGGTTGGTAACTCTGCTCAAGATGGATTACTGGTTAAGGCGCGAGTTTACTGACCGGTGGGTCCGCGGTTGGAGCCCGACCTCTGCATGTTGACTGCCTGTGTCTAGGCTTGGGCAGCCTGGCAGTATCTCGACCCTCTCCCTTCGGCATCGAAAGGGTACTGCAGCCGACCCGTTTTTTTATTTTGGTAACTTTGCGCCTACTGTTTTCATCGTGACGGCACTGCAGCTGGTCCGTGCACTGTACCTCCTTATATAAGTTAATTGGTGTTTACTGCAGCTCAACGAGGAGGACGAAGTCAGCCTTCAGGGCGCAACCAGATGGGTAACGTCAGCGGACTTATGCTTGACAAGTGGGACTCTTGCTTAAAAAACTGAAGAGTAGCAAGACTGTGACACTGCATCCTTCATTGCCTACACAGGATTCTCCCAGCTATTCCCAGCTCTTTTTCGGAATTTCGTTAACGCTGTGCCTCTTCGGGGCATTATACAATCAGTTCATATGGTTGTGCGACGGGGACCACAGGATCGTAATTCAGAATTGTCGCAGGTAGTTGCTGCGAACCAGCCATCCTATGATCACTTGAGCACGAATTTTGTCACTGAGATTGGTTGTATTATATTCACACCGAAAGTTCACTACAAA